ACCCGTAGAGCGCTGGACCTTATTTGACACAACTGGGTTTTCCCTAAGCAGTGGAACGCAGTCAGCCCAGCAATTATCCATATTTACGCATCTAGAAACCACACAATTGCTTTCTTTTGACCTCACACTTTCTATACAGTGGGAATCACCAGGGGAGGGCAGGAATTTTCCATCAGCACAGACGACTGGCACAAATGACAATGACTTCTCTAAATAAAAACACCGAAAATATTACTAAAAGAGTTCCTTCCTAAATTTCTGAAGCCAAATTTTGTGACACTTCCTCTTCTAAAAGTTGTTGTGGCACTGTGAAAATCTTTATAATTGGAGCAGTTGGCTCTTTTTGTTTTTCTTAAGCTTTTGGCAGTATTGCACTCTAGCTTAATGCTGGGTTTACCAGGAGCTAATGCCACCATGCCTTGGAAATTCCTGTCCTGAAAAATTCCAAACATTCTCCGGACACCACAAATCTCGAGCACTGGCAAAAATGTCAACTAAAGTCCTTAACAACTTTGTACATTACTGTTGCTTTTGTAGTCTGGTTGTAAATATGTCAATTAGCCTAATCCCTTGGGCCACTCAAGAATCCAGACATCTTAACATTTTCCTCCCTTTCTCACCAGGGACCAGCTTACTAGATCATTAAACCAGATGTGTAGTGTTTTCAGGCATTATGTGGAGAGTTTCATTCCAAAATGCTGTGTGTCTATTTGGAACAATTTTGTATATAACAGGTTTTTGAAAGAATTAACAGCTGAGATATAATAAAGGTGGTATTAATCATGACACTGCATTGACACTTCTTATATGTGTACAACTCACTGCCTAAAACACAGCATTAAAAAAGAAAATGAATGAAAGTTGTCGATGATGCATTTTAGAATTAAACCCTCTATATACAGTGAACCATTAGGCTTACCAAACCTAGTAAACTAAAGTTCTGCCACAGTGACTGACCTCAAGTTCAAAGATGTGAGAGATTTAAAAAGTAGGCCTTTTCACCAGACAGACGCCAACATAAACTGGTCATTTTAAAAGTAATATAAATGAAATATAAATTACGAACCTCTGTGGGTCTGAATTATTATACCAGTGCTGTAAAGACCAAACTGTACTTACTGAGCGTTTAATAACACTAAGAACCAGAGGAATGGAAAAACTTTCCATGTTGCCTGTAATGTTATGTATCTCTTCTACCTGGTTGTTTGTGGAATAGATACATTTTTCACTGAAAGCACATGAGCGATTATTAAATTGCTTTTACATATGAGTTCATTCTTTATGCTCTAAAAATAGATCGTTATTTTCCAGTGAAAAAAAGAACCATCCCAATTCCTTTAGCAGGCACCCAAACCCCACACTGTGGCCTTCAAGTTCAGAAGGGGGCTGTCTCCACACGTGCATGGCCATCCAAACAAACACACAGCCAAGAGAACCAACCAGGACGCTTGGATCATGGCCTGTTTTAACTACTTAAGTTTACCTTTGGGAAACTGGGCTGAAAGATGGGTAAACCAGGAGGTCTGCAGCACAGCCAGGCAATGTCATGAAACCAATAACATGTTACCTTTTCTCGTACATTACTCCTCTCTGTGTTAAGGCACTTTAACAGTGTACTCACTGTACATCTTTACTCATTAATCAATTTTGTTAACTGACCAGCTAAAGGATCCTACATGTTAACCAATGTTCCTTGTTTTAAGAAAGACTAGACCATGACACAGACACCCTTATACTTGCTTAAATGGAAAGCTCACAAAGTCGTACATATCTGAAGTCAAACATGCACCTGGTCTGGGTTTTGTCTGTGAAAGTCAAACAGATGAGGATTTTGAACGCCCTGCACTTCTAAAGCACCTAGGCAAAGAACCGACCCACATGCAACTACACAGATGAAGTCCGTAAGGCCAACTCGTCGCCTTCAAAGCCACAAAACACTGCTATCTGAGAAGTGAGCTTTCAAATGGGCCCTTTTTTCCAGTCACATGATTCAGTAGACCCAGCTCAAGTGCAGTGCATACAAAATGAACTGGGTGTTTGTTCCCTTTTCAAGCAATGATAGTGGATGATAGGGCTGTGAGACACAATATTTTAGCATTATTGTGATACATTACATAAAAATTGGGATGCAAAAATATAATACGTAATACTGAATTAATTATGTGAAATTAACAGCTCATAATCAATTAATCAGCTTGAAGCTGTATCCTCAGCTAAATAAGCAGATGTACATAGTTAGCTAGCTAATGTATGTAATACTGTGACAGGACAAGCTGTCAAAACATTTTTGAGGTAGATGCTAAATACTTCTAAATAACAGAAACTGATATGGATTAGAATATTTCAGTGACAACATCAGTGTTTTGAGTAAGAGTAACGTTAGCTCACTCCGACAAAATCACTTACAGTGCGAACTAAGTGTCCTCAGGGATTAGTGTGTCAGAATACTGACCATTTATTGATCATTCATATTAAAAATTCATCATATTATTGATCATTCTGCTGCCTCAGAATCAACACCAGTATGTTTCGTAGACAAAGGGAACAGCGAAGCTAGGTCAGACTTGCATATGCTGTATGTGATGACTTTATTCTTCATTTTAAACAAATGCTCCCAGACGTATTTCTTTTTTAAATTTAAGCCATAGCTGTTCTTTTTCTTTCGCTATCTGCTCACACAGGCACAACACTATGAGTGAACCGCTGCCCTCTTCAGGTAAAGCCGATAATTCACCATTTGTTGGACGTCACTTTGTAAATGTAAACAAAAAATTGACAATGGAAATATCTGTTGATGATTGTTTATTGTCAATATGATCGATAATGTTAATTCTTTAAGCCCCACATCACAACTTGCTTTTCTGAGCATATCGTGGATATCCTTGGTACTTCTAGTACACTGACTTATTGCAAGTCTCCTTAAAAAGGGAACATAATTAGCCCTGTTTAACTGAATTTAGCACAGCATAGTAAAAGAACCACTCTGTTTTTCATGTAGCACCTCTGGTGCATTGTGTTGCTTTCATCTTTCCAAACTTAAGCAACATAAAGATTGATGTGTGTCATGTTTTGAGAAAATGTCTTTAAACATTGTGATGTCATATTTTTCCATACAGCCCCCAATTATATAGTCACACAGTTGCTATTAAGTGTCTTGTAGCCTTCTTTTCAAGAAAATTCTTCCCTCTCCTAACTGACATAAAAAAAGCACATCTTTAAGTCTCACAAGTAAGATGAGCAACAAAAAGCTTAAGAATCAACGGGGACTCTGAAATTTCATTGGCCTCTGTATCAATGCTGTATTTTATCCTTAGTGGAATCTGAGTTAACTCTGGGTTTCATAATATAAATTAAAATAAAATTTAACATTTTAGCTGGAATTTACGTGCAGGCAAATACCACAGATAAACCCACTCTGTTCATCAGTCTTTAAATATTGATTCTTAAAGACAAGCAGCTCAAATGCCTCAACAAATCAGATGAAGTTTAACCTCATTGTGAGTCTACGAAGGTTTCTAATGACATTGTGCAGCAAGGCTGTAACAGCAAACAGACATCGCAAGTGCCAAATAATTTTGAGTTCTTGCATATGGATCACTATTTATAAAGCTGGGCAACAACCTCTGACTCCAGCTCTCTGCAGGAGTGGGCATTGTTATTGTGATAACTTATGTCAATATGCTTTTCTGAGCCTAACCTGGATATCATGTGAGTATTTTTAAATACCAACTGCAGGTCTCATTACAAAGAGAGCATAATTAGTCCTGTTTAATTGGATTTAGTGCAATGCAGTATGTAAAGTTTTAGATAAAAAACATTATATTGACTGTTTTTGATAGTACTTTTATTAAACGTGGCACTACTGGTGCTGTTCTGTCTGTTCCATCTTATTAATCCCATTAAACCTATTAAATCCATTACTAAACTTATTAAACTCAAAAAATAGAAAAAAACAAATATAGTGATGCATATCGTCTAATGCAAAAATGCCTTCAAGCATTGTGATGTGACATTTTTGCCACATCACCCACACCTAGTTAAACATGCTTTAAATTGGTCCTAATTCTCCCAATCTGGAATTTCCTATTCAGAAAAAAATGACCAAATCCCGATTTACTAGCAAATAGGATTCCTAACGATTAAACACAAAGCAAAGATAAAAATCATGTCAGATCTTAAATGAATAGATCAGATCATTTAAGATCGGATTTCAGTCTAAAAAAGGTTACAAGTAAGTTGCACTCTGCCAATAAACAGTCTTAGATATGAACAGCAGTGTAAAGCCCTGTTAACATCTGGTGATCATGTTTCATTCACCATTATATTACAAAAGCAGAAGTTTACAAGACAGTAGTGATGAACTAACAACCTGGAATGAGCAGCGTGGGCTCTGAAATGCCCGAGAACAGCTGCATCACCGAGGGCGCTGCACATGAACTTGATGGTTTCACATGGGAAAATACTGAGACAGAAACTACAGTTCACTCTTTAAAAAAGATGGTTCTTCAAGGGTTCTTTAGTAAACACAGTGGTTCTATATGGAACCATTTGTATGCTCACATGGTTCTCTGCATGCTGAACTGGTTCTTCGGATTGATGGAGAATGCGTTATATGTGGTTCCATATAGAACCTTTTTTGAAAATGGTTCTGGGTAGCACCAAAAGAGTTCTATTGTTACAAGCTTGACATCGTTACAACAGCAGAACCCTTTTTGGTGCTATATAGAACCATTTTCAAAAAGGTTCTAAGAAGAATCATATGCAACACATTTTCCATTAATCAGAAGAACCTTTTCACCATGCAAAGAACCACTTAGGCATGCGAATGGTTCTTAACAGAACCACTTCACTAAAGAACGTTTGAAGAACCATCTTTTTCAAGAGTGTAGCTGCACTCAGATGCATCCAGAGCTAGCAGACAGACAGACATAGATAAGGCTTCTTCTGCCAGACAGACACTGTGAGCAGCTGCTACTTCAGCTGTTTCTCGGTCAGCGTACCTGCCCAGCTCCTTGCCCGGTATGAGGCTGTAGTGGTCAGAGAAAGGCTCACTCCTGATGCTGCTCTTGATCTCGCAGAGTAACCCAGAGCGGCTGTGGTTGGACTGGGCTCGGCTCCTCGCCGCAGGACACTCAGGGATCATAACGGCTGACTGTATAACGCTGCTATACCCGATGTAAGCTGGAGAAGCTCTTCTACCGTCAAGGCGCACAATTCGCTTTGTAAAACTAAGTTTAAGCAGGCAGGTTCTCGCAGGTTCTCGCACTCACTCGCTAGCTGGCGACTAGCTGGCTGTGTGGGACCGACTAACAGAGAGTCAGCCAGCCGAACCCACCGCTACACAGCTAGCTGGAACACACACACAACACAACGGTAAACTCAGTAAAGTGAGTCTACAAAACTTGTTGGTCTGGATATAAACCGCTAAAAATGAAACGGAAGTTTATGAAAAAGCGACTAACGAAACTCTCATCTTGGTTCGTAGGTTATGTTAAGTGTCTGTCCAGCAATAAATCGATGAGTCCGTCTACTAACTTCGGTTGCTGCGCTCTCTCCTCTCTCAGCCTTTAGCCAGAAACGCTCGCTTTGATTTCCGTCACCATGGCAATGGCCTTGATTGACAAGCGGCTCGGCCAAAAGGGGCGGGGCTTGTTGTGATCAGGGTTTCCCTGCAGGCGCTGAGCCAAGATGTCGAGCCCGACTCACCTAGAAGGCTTTAAACTTTAACCTTCACAGTTACTCACAATCACCCTTGTTTTCTTGTTTTGGACACACTAAAGTAAGCTGCGTGTGAAAATGGTGATGAGATCCTGAATGTATTTCACTAACAGTGAATGGATGTTGGAAGTGCAGTGCAGTTCAGTCAGAGCCCCCTGCTGGTCAGAAGCGTAATGACGAGCCTCAGGCTGCTCACTTTTTTCATCCAGCAATGCATTTTACAAATAAGTCTTTATTCACAGTCCATGTACAGAGATATAATGAAGTGAAAGCAGTGGGACACTGTGAGGGGCTACAATGCCTCTCAGGAATAATGTGGTAACAGTCTGAGGAGGACAAAAACAAAAAGAGCAAACAGCATGAAATTAGTGGCACATGTGTATTGGAGTACCAGGCCTAAGGGGACTTTTAAAAATAATTTAAGAAACATTTTTAGCAAACATATAATCTTTAACTCATATAAAGTAGTAAAAAGCTGGAACTGCAAATTAACTAAAGTGACATAATTCAAAGTTAAGCACAGTGTTATGGTGCATCAGATGCTAAACTGGCCTTTAAACCTGATTCCTCATGTGATTCAAACATGCTCACATCTAAATGCACTTCATTCTTTCTATCACACTGCGATACAAGCTAAAGATGGAATGGAATAGAAATTGGGGAAATATTCTTTACATGACGCGGTCCACTGTTCATTCTAACATGTGGAAGCTGAAAGATAATCCAGGTCTGGACAGCGTCAGTGCAAAGCACATTATAAGAAACCACAATCACACCAACCAAATCAAGGACACAGAGTGAAACAAACTGCTTGTGAACACAGAATAAGCATAAGCAAGCTGGTAAAAGTTCATTTATAAAGATCTCACTTGAATACAGTTTGGGTAGTTCAGTGTGTTTACATATTGAAATAATTCAGTGCATTACAGGATTGGATCAGCGTTTCCCAACCTCAGATCTGTAGTCCACCAGCGTTATACAGTTACAATAAGCTAATCCTATGACTCGGGTGCAGACAAAACTCTGACTTTGCACAGTATGAGCCTGGCCTACAGGACTGGAGTTAGGAAAAACTGACATAGGCAATAGGTATAACAGTATTAATATTGTGTGTTTTCTCCATTAATGGCCTCTTCAAAATAACAACAACGTTACTGTGTATACAAATAACTGTGTACACAAACAAGGCATTTCCAAATCATAGAAAATATCATTATAAATGATGATAAACACCACATCATAGTCAGGCATTCTAACCATGTCAATACAAATAAAAAGAATCACTCAGTTAAAGAAATCAATCAACACATTACAGTAGCCTTCCAATAAACCATATAAAACATATGTGACCTACAAAAATAATTACATTAATATCTGTATTAGGCATACATACTTACAGATAAATAGGAGAGGCTTGATTAGTGTCAGGGTCATATCGCAAATGATAATTGCCTAGTTTTCAGCCTCTGCAGCGAGTAATATGGATGTTTCTGTGGTATCAATAACGTATATTGCTTCAAATAAATATGAATGTACAATGTCTAAAGTCGAATTATAGTGATCTTCAGTGCATTGGCATCAGTTTCAAGAAGGAAAAGAAGTTGGGAAAGATGCAGTTATCTGATTGGGTACAGAATTGAGGGTATGAACTGTAGCTTAACATCATGCCTTCCACTGTGCATTTTCTGATGGGCATCCCTGATCTCTCAAAACAGCTGCTGTGAAAACAACTAGTGTTATTTTGGAGCTGGAAACAGGCTCTGTCTACAGAGCATTGTGAGGAGATTAGCATTTGAGCTGCTAATCTGAGTGTACCGTAAATTCGCTTACATCACCTGGCTCAACAGACTCTCTGCATGCTCTCTACTAGAACACAGAGGCAGCAGAGAATCAGGAGGCTGCACTTCATCATTTCTGTTCTGTAGTGTTTACACCTGTGTGGATGTTATCCAACTGATTAAACTGTTTAATGAGTGTATAACATACAGATGTAGAGTAGCCTAAACCCACACTCAAGTGAAAACACTGTTACCTCGAGCAAATGTAAAAGTTTTATCATTTGAAAGTAGAAATCAGTCAAAATTTTACTTGCGTACTTGAGTAACTGAGTAAATGTGACTAGTTAGGGTGTTGTTCCACTGCACCAAGTACCAGAACCTTTTGCACCAGAAACTTGACTGTTTTTTCCATTGGCCTTTGGTCCTGTAGTCTACTGAAAGTTCCAGTTTTATGGTTTTTCGTATATGAATATTGGTACCAACAGGACCTAATGGTACTCGAGAGTGTTCTCCTCTGTGTTTGGTAACACATGAAGCTGAATCCAGCAGCAGTTTAGCAAATTCTTTACTCCTCCAGGTAAAGAAAAAGTCACCAAGCACTATTACGTGACCAATAAGTGCACAAGAATAGAAACTAGAATGGTGTGTCAATTGCTACTTTTAGAATTATTATTTTGGAAAGAATTTGGAGATATAAGCTAAGAAGCTAACGCTAATTATATTCGCATTTGTGCTAGCAGCCAAATGAGGTTTTGCTTTTATTTTTTCTACTGCCTGATTCTGCATACAATTCTGTAAAAGTAGATTTACAGAATCTGAGTGAACAGTACAGTATATCATTTCATAGCAGCCAATAAGTTAAGCTAACTAGCAAACAAGGTAGCTAATTATCCAAATTAGACACTTTAGAGTGGTTATTATGACAGTTCCTGCTGTCTTTTACAGGTGGAAAATGAACTAAAACTAAAACCACAAATTCTGTTGGTCCCCATTTGAGTCAGTTCTTGTTTTTGACTGTGAGGTGGAAAAACACCTGCTAGCATAGGTTTTATTACTCAATGCGATCAACCATTGAGCTCTGATTATCATTAGGGTCACAGTGACTGTGGGTACAGCACTTACAAGACACTTCTATATGACAATTTGTACCCATAATTTCAGTGAGGCACATCAAAGTATTTGCTTTAACTCCACCGTTGGCCATTGGTGATATTTTACACTCAATATTCAGAAAAGAGCAAACTATAAGAATGAATGTTCACAGGGCTTTGGCAATAAAACTAACATGTCCTTCTTATTAAACTGCAGGTCACAGGTGAACTTTATGCCACGTGGGATTTGTCCCCCATGCATAATGACAGCGCATCAGGAAAATGAGCAATGCCTCATTGGTAACATGGCACAGAGGATGAACAGTAGCAAGGGAACAGTCAGTGAGCTGAAACACGGTAGGCTGGACGCAGTTTTACACTACACATCTTAGTTTTTCCCTTCCCCAACCCTATAGTAGTACAATATGTACAATATAACTATTAGCTGTTTCATGCAATTTCAAGTCATCTTAAACAAAACTTCACATACTCTCAGATGAATTCTCAGATGCATTTAGATAAAAACAGTAGTCTCTTGAGAGGATAGGATCACTGAAAATTAAATTACAAGTTTAAAAAAAACAAAAACAGTCTTGGGTGTCCCAGAATTTCTTTACTCCAGACCAAAAGTGCTGGTCTCCTCCACAGCGATCAGTAACTTCTCATACAGCATGATGTATGAAGGGTATGGAGGCAAATCCAGGCGGTTAAAGCATGTGTGAGCCCTGTAAAAAAAAAGAGAAAAAACAGAAGGTCAAACATCAAGAAAGTGCATTTAAACAAGCTATTCACCGCAGAGCATTTGTCCTCATACAATATGAGTGTGTATAATCAGGTATAGGTTTTATGGCATTATCTTCAGTTTATAAAGTACAGTACTGTGCAAAAGTCAGAGGCCACTCATTATTTATTTAATTCCCAGTCAAAATGGCCAAGTACAAGTTATTCATTTTTCAGAACATATTTCTGTGAAGATTAGAAATAATCCACTTGCATAAGGAAAAACAAAGTCAAAGAAAAATGAGCAAAAAATTGTTCAAACTATAAAATATCAAAAGATATAGAGAAAATGGGACTCCTAACAACTGAACAACTAAGACCTGGTAGACCCCCAAAACTGTCACCATCAGATAAACAGTGCTTAAAGCTTTTATCTTTGAAAGAGAAGAAAGAAGGAAATCAAGCTCCACTCTTGCTTTAGATCTGAAAAAATCCACCGATGTTTCTGTCCACCTTGTGGAGCTGCCCTGTGTAGCTGTGAAATAGCTATAACTGAGAAAAAGAAATAAACAAGAAAGGAAAAAATTTGGAGATCAAACAAAGAAGCTGCTGATGTTCTCAGAACACTGAACTGACCACCCCAGTTCAGTGAACTGAGTCCAGACCTCAACGTCACTGAATGTGTTGGGATTAATTTGATTGTGAGAAGCAGAAAATGCAACCAACTTCTGACTGAACTTATGAAGTGTGGAAAAATATCCCAGCAGATTTCTTTGAAAAACTTAAAGCAAGACCCCTGAAAAGAATGGAAGCTGTAATAAAAATACTGAAATTTTGATATTATATTTAGTTGTTGAGGCTTCTGCATAATTTTATACCAAATATATGTTTTTAGCTTTTTTCCCTGACAGTAACAAAGCTATAAATTTTGATGAACAACTTCTTTGGTGTGCATCTTTAAATGTAACCAGAAGCAAAGATGAAACTGGAACATTCTGCATCCGTTCCTTCAGCTTTCCCTTATTCAGCTCAGTGCTGATGCTTTTCCACACAATGACAAAAACAAGCCCATTCTCCCTGTGACAGCGAAATATGAGCTCAGCGCAGTGTTGTTGTGCTGACAGCACCCGCTTTTGATCCACTGGCTCTGCCATTTGCCAACGTGACAGTGCGAAAATGACATTAGAAACTGAAACGCTAGATACGTCAGTGAGAGCTTTCCAAACAGTCAATTTTGGGATGACAAACGTCATCTCAAGTAACCTTCTTTATAAGTCTAAATAGCATAGAAAGAAGCCCTGAAAAAGGTGGCTTTTTGAGCCTGTGCTGAATGAATGACTGTCTCAACTCATTCCCTGGGCACTGTCAAAGAAATGAAGTCAAAATATTAGTTCAATGTTTGGATCTCTGGCATAGCTCACAAAAGATTTTGTAAGGGTTGTGACTTGGATTGACAGTGATGTGCCAGAAATTCTATTTATTCCCATTAGCGGTGTGTGCCCTGTTGCTTTAGCACTTTAGATTCAGTTAAATAGTACACAAGGCCAGCTATCAGGCGCCAACAAATGAAAAGATTAAAGATTATAGCCATTTTCTCTATGTGTCCCTGTGTTTGCTTTACTAATGGCTGTTAACACCTTGGGAAAACATAATCTACCACAAAGTGTTCTTGCTAAATAAACACATGCACTCAAACTTGCGTTCTCCCAGAGATGTCAATGTGTACTTTTGAGTTTAAAGCATGGAAACTATGAAGTGACTGAAAGGGCAATTTAGTTTTTATAACGTAGCACAGAATTTTCAAACCAATCCTAATTGATTCCATATCATATTTAGCCTACTCTACACACTGTTCACTTGACTTGAATATATTCAAGGTTCATTATCAGCCAGAAAACTAGATGAACAGTTTGTTCCGTACAGAGTAGAAGTGGGGCAACCCATCTAGTGCCATCCAAAAAGTATTGTGGTCTCAAACAGGACACCCTTCTTCCCGAAGGCCAATAATGAGGTCATGTTATAAGAAGAAGTTCAGAATTTGTCCTTGAATTTGACTAAATCGGGCCAGGCACAAAACGTTTTTAACAGAAACAATAAGGGCTATGATGAGAAATGTCAGTTTCGTATGCTTACTTAATCAGTGCAACTGATATCAGAACCTCTTGGAGCTATTTAAGCATACAACTACTATTCAGAGTGAGGAGGGTGTCATGCCATGACTGCACACTGCCTTGCAGCTAGAGAGGACATGTGAGAGTGAGTCAGCATGAATCACACACTTAATATCAAGTGAAAACCTCTGAGCTAAGAGCTCTGCATAGGTGTTTTTAAGTGCGAGTGGGTAGGTGTTTCAATAGAAGAGTATTTGATTTATTGCATATGCTGCTAATATGTGATACCACAATGGGCCCAATGCACTAAGCCTTTTGCACCAGCTTCAGATGCAATTCAGACACATTCTGCCCATGTGTTACGTATGAAACTGGTGCACGAGCCTTAATGAGTAGTTTATGGGCTGTGTGCACTGTAAAACGCAACTTACTAAAGCAGTTCTGCATTGATTTCTTTTAAAACCAGGCTTAAATATAACGTTATGGTCTCAAAATACATCTTGCTAAAAGAAACTTCTTTTGTGAATGGCAGCAGATACAGCAGTTGGATGGAGGCACAAGCCTCAAACATGATCTGAAAGAATGTTTACCATCTGAAAATACTGTCTGAACTGTCAGGATACAGAAGCACTAATTGCAGCCACAACATGCGCATGTAGTCTGTGTTATGGTTGTTCTATTTTCTTAGCCATGTGGAATGTTTTGGTGGGAGTAGGGCTGGGCGATAAAACGATAACGATAAATATCGCGATATAACTTTTCCTCGATAGAGCGATACGACATGTTTGATAAATGTTCGATATAATACACCATTCTCACACTCCCACGTTCAGCGAAAGCCTTGGTGGCGTTTTCTACTGCAAGGAAAGCGACACTACTCAGCTGTCGCCAGGAGAGGGCGCACTTCCGAGTATTTCTACATGATTAGAGAGGGAGGGAGCCACGAGTAAGATGAGTCTTTAGCAACGGCTGAAACGCGGAGTTATACATTCCCTGTTTGAGTGGAGCGACCGGCGATCTGTTCTCCTGTGACCGAGTGTGAGTGACGAGGTCAGTGGTGTAACTATACTGTCCTACAGCAAACTCACCTCTTTCTGTACATCCTAACCAGCTTTAGCAGCGTTAAATCACAATCACAATCCTCACAACTACAGCGCTGTTACAGTGCTCGGACAGTCATATTTAAGTATTAGTGCTTTCACAAGCACTAGTGAAAGAGTGAAGTATAAGAAAGAAGTGGGTTCATGTAAATTACAGCCCTGATTTAAACGAAAGTAAACTGAGGAAGCTGTGAGGCATTGGAGAGCGGGAGAGCGCTATCTTTCCAGGCTAGCTGTTTTTAGCAGCTGGCTAACTTGAAGCAGCGCTCTGTCACTCCAAAACACAGAGAATTGATGATACTCTAGATCAAACATGACACAAAAGCACCGCTTTCAGTTTTATCGATTTTTTTCAGATGTATCGATATCGAACAATATGAATTTTGTTTATCGTGATAACATTTTTGGCCATATCGCCCAGCTCTAGGTGGGAGGCGCATTGTGGGTGCATACTGCAGTCGAATTAAGGCACATTTTGCAGTGTGCCTGTTCTTGTATGTACATCTAGCCTTACATGTCCAAAAGCACCCAAATACCCTGTCGGGACCAAAGGCTGTCCCCTTCAACCCCAGGCCTCCAACATAATACTATTAAATAAAAAAGAAATCTTTTAATACTGGCTAAACTATTTCACTCATAACTGTTTTAAGTCTAAGTTCTCAGAAAGTGTCAAAAAGGAAAGAGTCTTCAGACGCTGAGTTTGTGGAAAGAGGGAAAAAGGCTTCTTCCTTATTTCAGCATCAGGTGGCACAGGGTCTTGAGAGACCCAACTGCACAAATACAGTGTTCCAAACAGTTTATATACCATTTATCTGGGGTAATTTGATTTCCCCCCACCTTACTTCTCAAATTTTGATATTTTTATATTAGCTCATTCTCTAATAGGTGCATCTCTTTGTCCATCAATTTGGCCATCGCATGCTGAGCTCACTTCTAAAAACTTGTTTCAACAGGTTTTTACCAGTCTGCTCTACCTTTTAAGGTCAACTTGTACCTCTCTTCACTGGGTCAGTAAGTACACAGGCCTCTCTGTAAACCTGGGGGCTTTCTAGTGTCTAGAGTCTCCTATGCAGACCTACACTTTGTGAGAGAATTAATATTCTCTCTTAGCCAATACTACCTATTTGGTTATTGATTACAATATCTAATCAATTTGATTACTGATTAAGGGAATATTTATTCAAAATCTCCGTCAGCCTCTGCTAATTAGTGAAGGGAATTCAATTGTGCACACACAGTTTGTTTCATTTCCAGAGAAGAGCACCGTCAGCAGAAACTAGAGAAGCCACACTTAGACTAAAATCACCATGACTAATGCCAAGCGTCGCCTACTCTTGGCTCTGGAGCAGTGGAACTACGTTCTCTGGAGTGATGGAGCTCAATTTAATATCTCTGGGATGAGTTGAGGTGGCGTCTATGATCCAGAACTAATCATCTAACATCAGTACCTGACCTCAGTAATGTTCTTGTGGCTGAATGCAACCAAATCCAGACAGCAATGCTGAATGCAACCAAATCCGGACAGCAAATGTTCTAACATCTAATGTAAAGTCTTTCCAGAGGCTGTTACAAGAGAAAAGAGGGGACAAACTCCCTCTTAATACCACTGATTTCAGAAACAAATGTTGGATGAGGTGGCTAGAAACTTTAGGACATACAGTGCTGGTTTCCCAGACAGGGATTAAGCCTAGTCCTGGACTACATTTTCCTTTCAGTGGAGAATCTCCATTCAGAATGCTGTGTAGTACAAAACATAGGCTTAATCACTGTCTGAGAAACCAATCCATAGTGAATGTGGACATAGAAAACTTTGTATGAGAGAAAAAGAACACTGTTAAACACAATAGGCCTCATTCACCAACCATTCTGAAGAAGAAATTTCTTCCTAAAACCCACTTAGGCAGTTTTTATGGAGATTCTGACATCAATGTGGGATTTGTTCTTTGGTAAGAACAGAATCTACACACACTCAAGAGCACAAAGGTGCTAAAAATTCAGAACACGTCACAAATCTGACTTTTTCTTGGGACCTTTCTCAAGAACAAATTTAAGAAAAAACTTAGGAAGATATTGGTGAATGTTGTTCAGTGGTTTTCCTGAGTGATGAACCTTGTGACACGCAGGGCAGCCAAAATTTCTCCAAAAATGGTCTTGCAATCTACTCCAACTGTTGGACTTTGTCAGTAACCAGACAGATCGCTAATTCCTCACCCTGACCCTGCACCTGAATGACTGGAATGTGGGACAGAGCATAAGCTAATGTTTAATGCAAGCATAGTTTTCCAACAGACGCACCTCATACCCAAGCTCAAAAATGCCTCAGGACCTTTCTGTGTAAACTGGAATGTGCTTCTCCTCATACCTGGGTAGAGAGGTGATCTTCCCCCATTTCTCAATGCAGAACCGACGCAGGCCATTGCTTCCACGTAAAGCTGCGAAGCCCTCATATGGCACGCTGGACGTGCCCGTCACAAACTGCAGCAGCCTCAGCCTCTGCTCGTTATTAAAGCGCTCCACAGCCCCCCAGAACCACCGGATCACTATGTGTCCATCATGGTAGCCTGGATGTAGATGGTTGGTTAGAGAGGAGGAGAGAGGAGATAGATATATATATGTTAAAAAAGTCAAGTTATTTCATTCTATAGAGACCAACAGCACATTTAAATTAACTGAAAATTGTCCATTGCCTCTGTAGCATTGCTAAAACATGACACCTAATCCACCCATAAACTCTACATGAAAAGTCAACAGAGGCCCTACAGTTATGAATGAGGCCATTCCAACACTACAAAACCACCAAACCACAGGGGTCAAAAAAATACCATAGATGCTTTGCTTCTGACATCAAAAGTTCTATCCATGGCAATGAACAGTGAGAGAGAGCCATTGCTTGTTTGTTTTGGCGTCAGAGGTGGGAGAAGGTGTTCTGGACTCCTCTGGCCTTCTAGAATGATTAATAGTAGAAATTTTGAGGACAAAAAGGGTCAAATGGCTCAAATGGAGCAGATGATTAGCCAGGGGCAATTAAGAGCTTAGCCATTAAGGAGGGTCAAATGAGCATTTGGCAATCCCAGCACAGCACTCCTGTAGGTTAATGATTTAGAGATGTTTGTGGATATTTTTGGCATGGGAAGGCATCTGCTGCAGCTGTCATTTTAGGTAAGAAATACAAAGAGTCTAGGATAACAGGACATCTGCACCAGACTACGTGCTAATGTCATCACGACCTGACAGACATGTAAAGGACACTTTTACCTTAAAGAAACATTATGTAACAATTTTACTTTAAAGTAACATCTTCGAAATCATTTTGATGGTACACTAAATTATAATAGGGAGAAACAAACGCCTGCTTTAGCACTATGTAACTTTGGTGGAGCACGCACAAAACCTCTCGTGAGAACTGCGTAATGCTTTATGGCATCTTGCCGGCAGAATCTGACTCCCATTCGTGTGCATCCGCATGACGCAGGCATACGGACGTTTCAGATTACACTCATGATTTCGGTTGTTTACACATAGCATCGACATGCCCACATGATGCAGAAGGGAAGTCGGATTCCGTGTCCATTAGCTCGTCAACAAATGCACGTGTACATGAGAGGGGCTCACAATTTATAAATGAATTTACAACAGTGGTGTAAAAGTGAAATACACTCTGCATTTGTAGGGGAAGCCCAAGAGCAAAAAAACAATTCTCACATAATGCTGCTTTAAATGACTTACATTAACCAACTGTAAGGACAGGCCCTCAGGAGCAGGATTAACTGACTCGCTTAAGGTCACATTGCAAGTAGAAATTGGCTTTGACTCTGTAACTTTCACAAAGTTCTCTGAAGTTCCCCCTCACTGAAGCACTTCATTCTTACCTCCTCTGTACTCTGTATTGGACCTCCAGTCATTCAGATCGATCTCTGCTGTCCCTGCAATGACCAGCTCTAGCTCCCGAGCATCAAAAACTGACACCAGACGTGAGTCAACCACCTGATCAGAAAAACAATGGGTTTGATAAAGACTGTCTATACTGACATGCTTGTTAGGACACGCTTAGTCATTTCTACATGACAGAAATCAGTTTCAATATTGTATACAATATTCAGTTATACGTTATTAACAAATGCTTAACAAATGCCTCCTGTGAGCTGACTGAACCTAGTTTTCCATTAGACACATTCGTAATCATGATTCTCTGTACGCGATTCATTCTAAACTAAATTGGATTGTTTTTCTCGGATTGTCTTGTGTCCTTGCCAATGAATTTAAGTGAGATTTAATGATTCTTTATTTTCATTTTTAATTTAACTTAAATCATCCTCATTCTCATAGTATTTTTTACTAATCCATACATTTTTAATCATCAGCCTAAAAAATAGGCAGCTAGCTAAAGGTCCAAAAGTACAGAATACATGTAGCTCCTACTACAGTGCCTAAAACCCAAGGGTCAGAATTCACTGAAGTCGGGTCAGTGTGCTTGTGTACCTCGTAGAAACCCCGAACCAATGCTTCTGTCTGTTGCACCACCCCTCTTTCCACCCTCCACTTGGCCATTCGCTCAATGTACTCCTTCTTATTCTTCTCAGTCACCTGAATGTTGGATCCACCTGACTTTAGCTCCCTCTCTGTTACCTGTTTATAGCAAGCAAGGTTAGACCACAAGATTAATATGAATACTTTTTGTGCTGTGGACTTTGAATGATTTAGTTTGGATTCATATTGCGTGATTTAGCGCACAAAATAGATAATATGCATGCAAAGCATTATTGCAAAATGAAAAAGAAATATATATATGAAGTGAAGTCAGATGTGCCAATTTGATGAACAGGCTGAGAAGGGCAGTACCTGTCCAAAGACCTCCTCATTAACAGTGAAGGTCAGGTCAAGAATGTCAGTGATGTCATTGTCCTTCATCCACTGGAGGCTCTGGTGGAACTCCTCATCCAGATACTCTAAATCACTCAGATCAGTCGCCCTGCGCAAGGTACAATTTGAACAATTAGGAACAATTTCAGTGGATGCAGACTCCAAGACTTAATAAAACAATAGAGCAATAGAGCAAAGACCAAAAACTCCATTTGGATTAGTCTAAGACTAGGCTTAATCTTTATCCAGTAAATCCAGGAGCATGAAACTCACAGTCGAAGCAGGGCTTTGTAGAATGGCCGAGTGAAGAAAGCATCCAGCAGATACTGATGAATCAGTGCCAGACCCAGAATACGCCCACTAAAACGGAACCTGTAGGAAGGACAGTATCAGTGAACACACTTACATTAGTTACATAACTTAAGTGCTGCGCTCTGTGCGCTTCTATAGCTTTTGGCTTCGTGTATTTCAGCCTTCATGGTGTATGAAGTCAAGCATACTTTTGTATTACTAATCTTTAAATGCATGGGTGATTCACCAACTGTACATAGCCCACCTCAGGTCATTAGCATTTATATCTAGAAACAGCAATGATAATGTAAAACTTCCAAAACATTTTGTTAAGAAATCTAAAAAAGAATCAAATAAACTGTGTTGATCTTTATTAGGCTACTTATCTAAAAGAATAGATAAGGTAAAAGGGGGGAAGAAGTCAGGGGTCACCCCCAAGTTGAGGTATGCATTTAAGAGTTCAAGCTTTTCCTAATTTTTTTAGGCAATTAGCTAAAAAGGTCTAATTTTTCAGATATTTCAATGAAAAGATCCCAGCAGCTAATCTTTGCTAAATGAGGGCACTGAGATAAAAAGACCTGAGATCAGTCTATCCTGTTAAAATATAGAGTAAGAGAAAAAGGAAGAAACTATCTATTTGGCTTCCTTTTCTTTCATCGTCACTGTAATTTGCTGAACAAAAGTGATATTTTATCTGTCAGTCAAATTGCCTAAATGACACAAAACAAATACCATGGCATTCTTTGCATGCTTATCATAGTGATTGACAAGAACAAGAGTACTATTTCACAACCACATGCCACATCAACAGGCGCGTGTGTGAGAGGGAGTGAGCGAGAGACTGAGAACGCACCATTCTAAATGGTTCTCTACAAAGGCAGACATGGGGCTAATCTGAACAGTGTAGGTGTCATTGGCTGAGTATTCAAACAGGCCGTAGTAAGGGTTAAACAGCTCCTGAGACAGCAAGAAGAAGAACTCCCGCGAAGGCCCACTGTAGTCCAGGCTAGACATGAAACAGAAGAACATGTAAAGTAAGATAACAGCATGATACAACTGAAATAAAAGTAAAAGAGTACAACAAGTTAAGATTAAATCTTTTTGTCTGATTAGGATAAAACACCACCATTAGAACGACTAAAGAGAAACTGCATCCAAAAGTAATGTATGAATTTAATAAAAAATTTGGCACTGTTTTCCACATTTATCTCCGTTACCAATAAACCAAGTGTAAAAGTCAAGCCATTTTTCAAATTTCTGACTTTTTAACCCAGTTTTTTATACACATTTTCAAACGTTGCATAAAAGAGGCGGATGGAAAACCCTAGAGAGTCATGCGTAGTTTCAGGCTTGAAGGTGGACATACCCTTCTTCTCCCACAAATGTAATGTAGAGCTTGTTCCGCTGGAGCTCTTTGCGCGAGTAGGCCATCACCTGGTTGAAAGTGCCTTCCAGCAGATGTTCTCTTCTGATGATCAACCTTTCACAACCCAGACAGATGTGGGGTTCAACAGAGAGCAAATGTTTGGATCTATTTTATTTTTTATAATGCAACTTGCACAAAAACGCCCCTAGCCCATGCAAACACACGCTTACTTGATTTTTCCCGGCCCCTGGCCATAGCCCTTGGCTTCGAGCTTCCTGTAAAAATTGCGCAGTTTGGCCTCAAAGTCTCTGCGGTATGGTGCAGGCGCTCTGGCTCTCTGCAGCCCTGCCAAGACATACACAAGTACACACACAGAAACACAATTATATCTGGGTTACGTCCCTCTACTTACAAATTATTCCCAGAAATAAAATATTCATAGTACTAGCCACTGACGTACTCTATATTTGTGGATGTTCTTTAATAGCTTTTCAGCTGGGCTAGCTCATTGCCTCCCAGCTGTGATATAATTTCATTTATAAACACTTTTCTGAATTCCCTAAAACCTCATCAGACCCCCCTCTGCACGCCACACTGTAAATGCTCATCACACTCGCACTGGAAAGCTCTTCACAGCACAGCGGGATGATGGTGATGTGAGTCATACATTAAACATTATACATTAAGCTCCACATCAAGAGTTGTGTAAGAATAGGCAAGATACTAGCAAATCTGTTTTAGTATGAGGGGAATGTGGGTTGGTTGCTGAAGAGACAACTCCACATCAGTAATAAAAAAGGCAAGTGTACTCAAAGATCTGATAGAGAGAACTATTATGCAACTATGTGAGAGAGAGGAAAAAAATCAGTGCTTAAAAACAGCACAGCTTATTTTGTGCCTACAGAGATGTCCCTGGTTTTTATTATGCAAGGCTGCGCATGAGAGATTAGCTAATATTACAGCATTTTTGGAAAACAGTTGACAAAATTAGAGTATGAGTTAGGGTGGTGGCTGAAGATGTGTTGATAGCTCTTTATGATTGAGATTAGAATGATTACAGTGTTGATTGGCAATCATCACAGACTGCAGTGGTGTGTAATCATAGGGGGAAAGAATGTGAAATTGCAGAGTTTGTAAGCCAGAATCATGTAGTTAAATTTGGGGTGTCTGTCAGGCACAGCCAGTAAATATGCAATTTTGTCAATGTTTAGAAATGTGTATAACATTTTTTCATGTTTAAATACGTCCCATAAGTGAACTACACTTCATAACTTTTAAAAACAGATTTAAAAAAATCACATGCCCACATGCCCACAAGACTCCCCCATACATACACAGTGTAACAAAACTGTGCACATTCTGTTTGCTTTGTATTGTTTGTGGAACATTAGTGATTTGTTTTGTTTTGAACTTTCCCTGATGTTTCCCATCATCAGCTGAGAACCAGCTGAGATTCTCCACTCCGGTAGCGGAATAAGACTGGGCCAGAGTTTGAATGGGCCAAGAGCCATTCAGCACAGTAGCGGAGTTGGACTGGGCCATGAGCAGGGAGGATTTCATCGCAGTAGAGGAGTTTGATGGGGCTGCAAGCTGGGAGAATTTTTACTGAGGGGCCAGTTTCACTAGGCTTTGAGCCAGGAGACTCTTCACAACAGGTGGCAGAGTCTGACTGGGCTTTGAGCCAGGAGACTCTTCACACAGGTGGCAGAGTCTGACTGGGCTGTGAGCCAGGAGACTTTCCACCTCAGTAGTGGAGTTTAACGTGGCCATGAGCCGGAGGACTTGTCACTGAAGTAGTGAGGTTTGACTGGGCCACAAGCTGAGAGACTTTTAATTGCAGGTTTGACTGGGCTGCAAGCCAGGAGACTTTTAACACAGTAGTGGGCTTTGGGCCTAGAAATTTTCACACAGTAGCAGAGTTGGCCTGGGCCACAAGACTTTTCACTGCAATTGTGGAGTTTGACTAGGCCACAAGCCAGGATCCTTTTACTGCCTCAGTGGAATTTGACTGGGCTGTGAACCGGGACACTTGTCACTGGACTAGTAGTTTGACTAGGCTGTCAGTAGGGAGATTCTTTACCGCAGAGGCTGAGTCTGAATGGGCCCCGTTCTGGGAAACATTTGTTTGACTGAGCTGTGATCCAGCAGACTTTCACACAGTAGTGGACTGTGTGTGTGTGTGTGTGTGTTTTGTTTGCTGTTTATTTGTATTGTTGGAATTGTAAGGGGCGTCCTTGGGTTTGAAAAATGTGCTACATAAGTTAAACTTATTATTATTATTATACACAAACCTGGTGAGTTCTGTGGTGAGGATCCAGGAGAGCACCGTGGGGAGAAGTTGAGGCTTGGGTGGAAAGGGTGAGTGGGGATGTATGACATGATCTCCTCTTCAAACAAGCTGCAGAGAGAGAGAGAGGAAACCGAGATCTGAGCACAGAAACTTTCAAGCTCAGTATTCTGTTTGGAGATTAAGCTTAGTTTTGGCTCGTTCATTCAAAAATCTAATTTACAAAATTATCACTTTACCTGAAAAGAGGCTAATAAGTCAAGAGTTAGGCTGCGTCCAAAACCACATACTACCATACTATATATACTACTCCATCACTGATGGTTGTGTTCTGTTTTGACAAATTATTTATTATGGTAGTATGAGATTTTAGACACAGCCTTGTCTTATGTGGCTTTTGTACATCAAATCAATATAAGCAGCCATCATGAAGCTTTAATTAAGCTTTAAAGGGTCATGATTAAAAAACAACCAGCATTACTTTGTCGACAGTAGTTTACTTAGATTAAATAAATACTTTGTTTCATCAAAATACATACAGAAACCTTTATCAGGCACTGTGATTGGTCAAGATCCTCATGCCATGTGGTAAAAAAAAGGGGGCATTCTCACAAAACACGTCCATGAGTGGCATCGAAAAATATAACTTATAGTTCTGTATGGTACAGCAAACAGTTTGTGGAGTTTCCTATTTTTTTGGCATTTCTTAGCCAAAAGTCATCACTGCAATGTGTCCACATAAGTGTTTCTCAACACTTATCACTGCTTTCACTTTGTTCTAACTAGAAAAAAATGAGACTGTATTTTTTTTACTTGTTGAATCTCTTTAATTTAATGTTTTCCTTGTAAACTACAAAGGAATTGAACCAAAACAACAAAGTATTATGTAGCACAAGTAAAAAGAAAAACCTTGATGGCTGTCAATGCATTGCCACGATGAGCTAAAATTTCAAAAACACTATATTTTGCATTATAAATATTGCTTAAAAATACATAGTCAAGAGAAAAGTTGTGGAAAAAAACACTATTTATAAATTTATCTTCAAATCCCACTGTGTTAGAGTAATGAGATTTTAAATCAATTAAATCATTCATGTTTATTTTTTATTTATTCAACCAGGCATCACTGTTTGTAAGTTTAAGTCATTTTATTTTTTAAAGTTGGGTCCTAGTGTTTGTCTTGTTTGTGAGAATCCAAATGGCTCATTTTCATATTCATTCATTTTCATTACTTTTCTGCAGTATCAGTACTGCAATGGCTAACACAACAATAATATTGTGCAGCCTTAGTTTGTGTCACTATGGTTTTTGGACACTTCACAAAATAGACAAAAATGTAGTCAGATATTAATTATATTACATCATCTGACACTGATGTCTGCTGGTGGCAGTTACAGCTCAGCCTATAGGCTTTCCCAATCTACTAGCATTTGTTTATGTGTGTGTGCGCTCCTGAGCACTCTGTGTGCGTGCGTGTGTGTGCGCGTGTGCGCGTGTGTGCTGTCTGGCGATGTGTTGGATGCGGCTGCCTTGGCAGAGCATGCTCGGTGGATTATGTTATTCAATGAGGGGCTGCGTGCTGGCCCATGTGTGTGAGGCATAAGTCAAAGTGTCCTTTTTTTAAAAACAGTAATCCAATTGGCACGACAATGGCACAGCTTCGCTACAGGATTGGCACTGAATGAACGACTGAGTGAGCTCTCACCATGTGCTCAGGATTTATCAGGTCAAGGTAGTAAACAAACCTTAACAACATAACCACGTCTGCGTCGCAAGACAGCTTCTCCACACCTTGTGGCCCCTCAGTTCTGATGTAATGGATCTTCTCCCTGCAAGATCAGTAGATACAAAAAGGTTCCAACACTTCAATTCCTTACTGCTTTTATCTTTTGTCCTAAATAGCTTGTGAAATGTCCAGTCTGTTAACAGAATGTTAATTGATTTTCAGTGCACTGGTAATGTGCTTCACTTTGACCAGGGGCTGTAATAGCCAGCATTCAGGAATGCTTTTAAGACACAGATCAGATGTCAACATTTGTGAGACAGGGATCTGTCTTGATGCTCATGCAACTGTATACGCAAAGTTCAAAAGAAACTGCTGACTAAACTTTGTTCTCATTAGAGTTTTCATCGCTGGCTACAGAGCAACACTGCGTACGGCAGCCACAACAGCCATCCATCATTCACTTCTATTTAGTACAGTGACGTGTAGCACTGCCGTATAGGAGGGAAATGAGGAACTGCCAAACTAAATTGTTTCACTGCCTCCTGGGTTTCATCTTCACAGACAGGTTAGCACTTTGATGATCATTATTTAGGACATATCTATAGGCTGTCCTTCTCTTCAAAATGTTTCTGGAGGTTGATATTTCTGAGTAATATTTCTTTTTTTTTTAAATGTGGTATGTGATGGAATGCAAAAAAAGTGCATTTGCATTCTCATACTGCAAGATCTTCATGAGTTTTCACTGAACATAATGACGTAGTCATCCTCACCTGAGTGTGTGATTACGGGCCAAACTAGGTTGTCTTTCCTGCAACATTTCCAGGATGTTTGGCTGGCGAAGGAAAGCCACAATTTTTTCATTATACGCTGAAACGAAGAAGTGGAGAATTAACAGTTAGTCAGAGACTCCCTTTCATTTATTTGATCTTCCCTTAAAACCTTTCATTCACTGAGTACAAGTTATTCATTTCAAGCATCAGGAAAAAAGCAGGAAGCATATCAATTTGTGAGAATGTCTCAAGCACCTAAGCAAATTCTTTAAAAGCATTTATTTCAGCAGTGAGTGTGTTTTCTCTTGTAGAATCGGCATATAACATTAGAATACATTTTTAAAAATATGCATTGATGCTGAACAGTAACACAGATCTCTCTTTTTTTATATTTTTCCACAACTCCACGAAGTTCAGTCTTAGAAATTGGTTGCATTTTCTGCCTCTCACAATTCAAATAATTTCTAGCACATTTAGTGATGTTGAGGTCTGAGACTTGATTTGATTTGCAAATGTTCTTTTTTATCTCAGCCTATGTCCTTTTTTCAGCGATGCCTTCTTGACATCTAAACATCCTTCCAGACTCATAGTGTTGAGTTGTCTTCTCACAGTGGAAGGATGGACAGAAACACCTGTGGATTTTTTCAGATCTGAAACAAAATTGGAGCTTGATTTTCTCTTCTCTCTCAGAGATGAAAGCTTTAGGTACTGTTTGTCTGATGGTGACAATTTTGGTGGCTTACCAGGTTTTTGTCTAGTTGTTTTGATTCACATTTTCTCTTCATCTTTTAATCATTTTTTGAATTTCAGTTTTGGATATTTCTGTTTTGTCACTTATTTTCCTTTAACATTCCCCTTTTTTATGCAAGTGGATTATTTTGTATACAATCTCAAAAATTAGAAAAAGAAATATCTTCTAAAAAATGAATAACTTGTACTTAAAATGTTTTCACTGAAAATGAAATAAATAAAGTATTGTAGCTACACATAACAGTGTAAAAAGCAGCAGTGTTTATTTGCTGTTCAGTCAGAAGTTACTGGTTCGATCACATGACTCATTACAGAGTCAGAAGAGGACACTATTAGCTCAAGGCCTCAGAGGTGTCACCCAAACACTACAAAAGAGCTGTGAGCTTTATCTTATAATGTTAACTTCTATCTGCATGCTGTAATGGAACCTGTTGCTACTCTACAGCCGTGTGAGATTTCATCAACACAAACAGAAAAAAGAAAGAAGTGCAGACTCAAACAGGGGATAATAAATATGATTCATTATGTAACTATTTAATTAATTGCTAAATTCCTCACTTCTATCTCTTTGCCTGAAGTTAACAATACCTTCCAAAGGTATTCTGCACTTTAGAGTTAAAGCACCTCATCAGTGAGGATTTCACTCTTCTCTCTAAAGGGATTCCTGGGGCAAGACATTAGCAAAACAGACTCGTAACCATTTCCTCCGCACCGGCATTGGCAGCCCCCATTACATGGGAAGCACCAGATAACTGCCTGCTGCTCAAAAGGCAGAAGATAAGACAGGCTCATATGGTGCAGCACAGGGGAGAAATGAAATATGTGTTGCTGCTTTGGTAACTCAACAACTCCCAGACAGAATATTGATGCATATTCACAATAGCGGTCAGGGCTGCTCCAGAGAGATGTGATTAGTATTATACCTGATAAAGAATTCAATATTTGTGAACTTCTTTATATTTGGAGGAAGGCATTAAAATACAAATCAACAAACCCTTAACTACAGATAACACTTACACAAAGTTTGCAGGGCTGGGTTTCTAGACAAAGGTTAGGCTTCGTCTTGAGTTAAATGAGACCATCAGTGAGGAATCTATACTGAATACAGTGTTTAGTGTTCCATGAGGCTCGGTCTATTATCAAATGTGTTGCACAGTGTTTTTAAAAGCTTTTCGTGAACCAATCTGTCAAATATTTGTATATTCCTATGAACAACAGCATACTATCACTCAAACACTATGTGCACACTAATTTTATATAATGTTATTTATATATGTGTACATAGACATAGTTATATGTCAGGGGTGTCCAGTCTTATCCGCAAAGGGCTGGTGTGGCTGCAGGTTTTCATTCCAAACATGCACAGCACACCTGATTCTACTTGCTCAATCAATTGGTCAGACTTCTAAGAACTGATCATGTGAGCTCCTGCTTTGTTGGAATAAAAACTTGCAGCCACACCAGCCCTTTGCAGATAAGACTGGACACTGCTGTCCATATATATGTACAATGTATATGCCACCACTGGACTCTGGAGCAGTGGAAACGCATTCTGTGGAGCGATGAATCACGTTTCTATCTGGCAGTCTGATGGACGAGTCTGGGTTTGGCGAATGCCAGGAAAATGTGACCTGCCTGCTTTCAGGAGTTGGCCTAGACCCCTTAGTTACACTTCGGTGTAACTGTGACCACTGATGAAGGACTAGAGGATGACCAACACAAACTGTGCAGCAGCAGACGAGCTATCGTCTCTGACTTTACATCTACAAGGTGGACTGACAAGCTAGGAGTGTCTAATAGAGTGGACAGTGAGTGGACACAGTGTTTAAAAACTCCAGCAGCACTGCTGTGTCTCATCCACTCAGACCAGCGCAACACACACTAACACAACACCACCACATCAGTGTTACTGCAGTGCTGAGAATGATCCACCACCAAAATACTACCTGCTCTGTGAGGGTCCATGGGGGTCCTGACGACTGAAGAACAGGGTAAAAGGGGGCTAACAAAGTATTCAGAGAAACAGATGGACTACAGTCTGTAATTGTAGAACTATAAAGTGCACCTATATAGTAAGTGGAGCTGATAAAATGGACAATGAGCGTAGAAACAAGGAGGTGGTCATAGTGTTATACCTGATCGGTGTATGTATGAAGTGTGTGTGTTTATGTGTGCAGACTGACCTAAGGGCACTGAGTCATGCTGGTATTGGCTCCTGATGGCTGCTACTAGGCTGTTCCCAGGCCTGGCCATGAGAGATGCTCCTCTGCTGCGGGACACATCTGATGCCTGTGCGATCATACACATATACAGAAAAACACACATTAGGACAAAAGAGCATTCTGTTTCCATCTCGCACAAACATGTTTTCTCTGGCATTTTTCTGATAGCCTGTCTGTTTGTGCACTTCAGCATCTGCTTCTTAGCCACTCTGTCTGCCTATTAGTGTGTGTGTGTGTGTGTGTGCGCACTCACCTCTCCAGCACTGTAGCTGCGCAGTCTCTGTAGATGTTGCCTGTGTGTGAGGTGGTTGGGCAGCCGCCCATTCTGAAAGGGAATTCTGGGATCGATAAAGGTGGTGGCACGACTGTTGTGGTCCACAAAGAATGACTAGAAAAGAGAAAAGACCACAAAAATGAAACCATGAAAATATGAAAATATGATTGGAAGTCATACTGTCATGTACTCCAAGCCAAAAGTAGTGAGTCCAGTCAGTGTGAGGTTTGTTTGCCCATTCATAGGGGTAGGACTGTGCACAATATATAGGCAGACAATATTTTATGTGCACATAAATGGGGCAATTATCATCATCAGTCTGATATTGGAATTATAACCACTAATGGATAGATTAGTGGATGACACTACTGCTTTGTAAAATTAATGAAAGATCTATCTTTAGAGCTTTAACCTGTCTTGTGTTGAGCATGAAATTTAAATAATTGATTATTGGTATCAATAAAGTTTTAACTATCATTAAACTATTATTGTTTTCAAGCCAGAAATTATATATCGGTGCATTGCTTGTGAATGCTTTTCAATTGGAAAAATATGACTGATACATATCTCAGGCAATCACAACAAACCAGCAGTGAGAACAGCGGTGTCAATAAATTAGTCAGAATTATTCTACTAAGAAATGGCTGAAAGGTGTTACTGAGGATCATATTATTCCTAAAACACTATCCTGATCATCTGGAGTGTGGTGAGGCTTTTTTTATTTCATTTCTGAAGCTAGAAAGGTTTTGGGTTGAACCATGTGGAGGACCACACTCACAGCTCTGTCTCAAAATTATTAACAGGCAGAATTATGCTAATAAATAATTTACTGTCACTTCTGGATGCTACCATGTAGCCTGTACTGAACGTCTGACAAACATAGTAACAATAACTGAGAGAGATGGGCCTTTTTCAAAATTTTGCAAATGGTCAATTTTGTAAGTATATCTATGTTTTATGATTTTGGACGAGTTCTGTAACTGTATGGAAGTTTCCACCTTTCCCTGTGGATCTGTTTTGATCTCCCAGCCCCGGGGTAGCTCCAGCTGAGTGTCCGCAAACTTATTGAGGAAAGTGACGAGGTCGCGGTTATGCTGGTATCGCTCAAAGTTGCGCGCGTCTCGTCGGATTTTCAGAATCATGTGCTTTAGGCAGGTGCTGTTGGTAAACATACGGTATGCCCCCTGCAAATAAGACACAAACAACAATGAAGGTGAATATGTCTTCAATATGTTATTCCTGTATGTAGCATAGTAAGTGTAGACCACATAATGTGAGGTTGTGTTTTATGTAGGGAGTGTGTGTAATGACACCACAGTAAACACAGAGGCAGTGTGTGGTTTAATGGCCTGATGGGTTTTTGGAGACCCTTAAGCCATGAGACAGTGTGTCAATAAATAGTCGCACTGACAGTAACAAAGAAATCTCTTGTTGGCATCTGCTGATAGAAGGTTATCACACCATGTTCAGAAGGCACATGCTGAGACCTCTGCACTTACGTAATCCTAAAAAACAATCCACGCCTTTATTCATGAGAACAAATAGCTGCATACATACACACACACACACACTAATAGACATAGACAATTAAGCACAGCGATCATCAATGATAATACAGCCATGTGATAACGGTCTGTTGAGTGTGGTTGTGACACACCCACAAAAATACACTGCTTCAGCACACACACTCTGGTTCTTGTGGAATAATCAGGATATGAGGTCATATCTGTGTCTTATAAGTACTATCTACAGCATACAGTATTGTGCAGGTATAAAAGCTATTTATCTGAGCAGTATGCATTTATTTGCCCAGAATAACAGCAATAGTAGAAAAAATACCTTTAACATTAATAGAATAATTTGTGGTGTTACATTTGTTGGAGTTTTCATTTAATCTTTTCCAAACCTCTCCTTAGGGTAGTCTAGTATTATTCATAGTTATTATTTAATACTTGGTTTGGCTCAATCAATTCTTTACTGTCTTAAATGTGCCAGTGATGGAATGTAACAAATTAGTGTGATGGTTGAGGGAATCAAACGTGCTGTTCTGAAAATATGTTCCAACATATGAACTACTTTTTAAAAACAAGACATTCTTGTTTCTTTTTACTGCACCAATAAAGTTGTATTGCATTTATGTTTTATTGTTTTTTTTTTCCAAAGCAAAAACACACTTACTGCACAGATCAATGATTTAACAACTTGCGTAAGTGCTTTTGTTTGTAACTAATTATATGCAATAACAACATGTCCTTATACGTACCTATATGTAATAACAATATGTCCCATATGTATTATATATACGTGCCTACCGTATGTAAAAATAATATGTCCCATTTGTATTACGCATATGTATCCATATGTACACTAGGAATCACTATTTTCATTAATATAAAACAAATTGTTGAAGATGCAGTATAAAATGATTCTATTACGTTGCTGGTTCTCTACAAATGTTAAAGCTGTATAGCTGTAAAAGCTTAAAATATAAAGAAAATGTTAGATGTGTTCAGAATGATGAACAGAGCTGTAGATGATCCCATAATAACTGATAAAATTGTACTGCATCAAGAATGAATCTATAATAAAAATAACATGCAGAATGCCTCAGAATAGAAAAGCGGTGATCAAATCGTGAGGCAGATAAGTAATCAGGAAAGGACCATAAATACATAATTACAGTATATTATTTATCTTGGTATTTACAAAAATATAAAAAATAAAATTTCTTAAAATACATTGTGGTGTCTATATTCTAGTACTGCATTCTAAACTGTACTGAATAAACTAACAGTTGTTGAATAAAATAACAATTTAATAATAGGACAAGTAATTTAAAACATTTGAACAGCAGTGTATTTTATATCTGTAAGTACCTACAGAAGGTTTCAATTCTTACCCAAATCATAATCCCCATCTTAACCTCAGTAACCAAAAAAAAAAAAGATTTTACTCTTTCAGTTTCAAGACCAAATATGTAGCTTTGGTAAAAACGTTCAGCAAGACTTCACTGTAGGGTACTGTTCATTAGGCTACACGACACCTACATAAACTTCACAACTGACATAACCCTCCATAAATGCATAATCCAATAGGCGTCATCTGTCATGAGGGCTATTTTAGTGAACTTTGATCAGTAAATATATAATAAGTATAAATATAATATAAGTATAAATGTAACCTTCATAGCAAATGGAATGGAGCTATTGGAATAAGCTTTATAAACATTTCTATGGGCTTAAGCCAGTTGTCATGACAAGCTTATGTAGATGTCATGTAGTCTTATGAGTAATACTCTACAGTAAAGTGTTACCAAGAGGTCTTTAAAAAGTCAGAACCATTTGTTGGTGTTGCGTTGCAGATTATCCTTACATTTGTTTGTTTCTTCTAAAAAATCAGGACATTTGAATCCTGGTTATGTACGAATACAAGCATGCATGCCTGCACACACCCAGAGATCCACTTATATGTTGTAGTACTTTATCTCAATCCATCTCTCTGTCGACAGTCAATGTCCACCCTCTCTCTGACTGTTACTTCAGGAGAAAGCTCAACCAATCAATAGAGAAAGAACTCTATAAATAGATAATCAATCAGCATCATCCTAAAGATCATTTACTGGTGCCATCAGTGATGACTTATACTGATAAACCTCAACTGTCCAAAATACATTTTATACTCATGAACTGATGATGCTCCTATGTTCATGACTTTAACCCAGAAGAGAATACAGAACAAACTATAAGACCACATTTCACATACTGTCCTACTACTTACATAGTTGGCGTGGAGGACGGTGAAGAATTCAGGGTGAGTGACAAATTTGACCGCTGGACATTGCAGCAGCAGGGTGACCTTCTGACTGCTCAATGGAGAGGAAGAGCCTTCTCTCCTCAAATCTGAAAAAAAAAAACACAATTGCATTACAAGACAGGCCTAAATCAACCACAGATCATGTACAGACCCATGAGCATGTAGACCAAAAGAAGTACTACGGTTATTTTTATATCCTAACTATGTACTGTATAAAATATGCAAAAGTAGACCTAGAAACAACCTAAACTAGGACGTCTAAAGGAAAATGTGTCAGGAACATTTGTTTCTTTTGTACAAATGAAAGTTGCCAGCATAAAATAATATAAACGCTCTGAAATGAATTTAAAAGAGCTACTGTCATATTGAGGCTTACATGAAGCAAAGGGAAAAGGTGCATTACTGTTTCTGGCTTCTTGATATGTTATTTAAGGCCTTAAAAGAACAGCCTTTTCAACATCAAACTCCAAATCAAAAAAGCATGAGACATAATCTCTAGCCAGCTTGCTAAATCCACTGAGGACATCACTGCTGGCCTAAAACCAAGCAGCATAATCTCGGCACAGTGGGAAGTTGTCTGGTGATGAGGGTACAGTACCAGTTGGCTGCGGCGGGAGGTCACTCTCTGTCTCTGTGCTGCCGCTGCCCTCCAGCCTTCGTCCACCGGAGTCTTCATCGGTGGCTATGGTCCTCTGGACGTTCTGATACCTGACCAGCCAAGAAAAATAGGAAGGCTGACAGTGAGGGTGGGTGATATGCCAAAATCATAACATCAAGATACATGACCTACAATATTTAGACACACACTAAATATTACAATTTATTTCTAAGGCTTATAAACAAGTTGGAACAGATATATATGTTAATATGCATTCATAAAACATTCATGATAGATTTGAAAAGGCTATGAAAAACTATGAGGTCTTTTTTTATGTAACATTTTTAACTACTTAAAGAGAAAGTACATTGATTTTTGGAACTTTCAGCATAATTGAGATGTAAACAAAGTCATTCAGAGTGGTTTGATGTGAAATAGTACATTGTAGAGAAACTGTTTACATCTGGTCATATCATGTGACAAGGATCTGGATTGTATCCTGATAAGATTTTAGCCACATGCATTTACACTTCTTAGTCAAATTCATCTCCAGTTAGTCAGACTGAAATTTGATTGCAAATCTACTTGTTATGTGGCCACCAATTACCAACTGTTTATCTGGTCAGCCTCTTCCTGTTTGGCACAGTGCTGTCTGTCTATATTGCTATTTCATTTGGTCCAGTCCCCAAATCTAGCTGTTTTAGAGAAAAATCAGCTCAGACATCAGACAGTGTACTCATAACCATTTAATGTAATATCTTTCTGCAATGGAGCTTTTAGAGGTATTAACTGCTTCATACGTCTGACCTCGTGTATACCTGGCCAGTTCAAGTGACTGGATTGTATCTTCATAAGATTTTAACCACATGGATTTACACTTGGTAGTCATATGCTTCTCCAGTTAGTCAGACTAAAATTTGACTGCTGTGTGGGATGAAATATGCAAATTCACTCATTAGGCGGCAACCAGTAACCAATCATTTATGTAGTTAAGTGTAGCATGTTTTGCACAGTAGTATCTGACCATATTGTTATTAAGCATTTCGTTTCCAATGTGTCTTGGACAGAAAGAGGCGTTTACACTGCTATAGCATGTGGCTCAAATGTGTCTCAGACCACCTCCTGAAGTGGTGTGAGGGATCGGATTTGTATCTGTTTTAAATGTGTCTTTGGGTGCGTTTACAATTGCATTTTTATGTGGCTCGGCCTTATCCAGATATGATCCTGAAGTGACCAGTTGTAAATGGGGTCTCAGGTTCCTATCAGTGCCACTGTGAACAATTCTGACTCATTTCATTTCAAATCAAACCACTCTGATTGACTTTGTTTACATCTTAACCATTCAATTATGCATATAATTTAGAAAATATGGTGGAATTCCCCTTTAAGAAGCAACAGGATAAAAAAAAATCTAACAAAAATAAATGTGTAAAATTGCATATTTGGATAGGGCACAAATACACTGGTGCACAGGTTTTGAACGTAACACATGTACTGTCATGTTTCACACATGCTACATACTGCTTCACTTTGCATGTGTTTGACAGACAGTTCTCCTACAACAATTTGAAAGAACCATTTTTATCCCATTTACAGAACAGAAGAGGTCCTGTGTAATGTCTCCTGTAATTACAGTGTGGTCAGCCAGTGTCGTACAAAGAGCAACAATAAAAACAGCAACTAGTGCATGAGGAACAAAACAAACAGGAATGTTTTGCATGGAACCAATGACACAGAGGGCACTGGGGCAGAAACTCTGTTTGAGTGTTCAGGGCCACCAGAGGACAATGGAGGAACTTAATACACATCTCTGTCTACTCATACACCACACTTCTATGACTCAAATACACACATTCATCAACAGAAGACACTCCTCCATCATGCAAAAGAGAATAATTCAAAACTTCATCTTTACTTTTGTAGTTTTTGATTTTCTACATGATTTAAAGTATAAGCTGCCGTTCAGGTTATGTTAAAATTTCATGACAAACACACCAATAGAAGGGGTCCAAAATTACATGGAATTTAATCTTATTATATTTTCTTATTACTTATTACCTACTTACTTACTTATAGTTAATAATGTTTCAGTTTATTCTTTACAGGGCCTATTTCTTCATTGTTTCAAATCAAAGAATTTGATGTAGTATGTAAATATTTTTAAAGTTTCAAAACATGCCATTCACTCCTCAGTCCATTTGTTCCATGTATAAACACTAAGCTGCAAAACAGCCTATTTTAAATTCACTGTTTTTGTGATGTCACATAATTCATCACATTTACATATATCGGCCTATTCAGCCCACAGCAGTTTAGCCCCGCCCATTCACCCTGAAGTTATAAAGAGTGTTTCAATCCAAATAAAAAAAGCCTGTTTAAATGTAAGGGACAAAAAGAGGTTGAAAAAGGGTCATGCAAAAATAAAACATGACTGTTTTTGGTACATAAAACCTGCATATGGACCTCAGGAAAAAAAATTAAAATACAAAGTAATGTATGATATGGACCCTTTAAAACTACTAATCTTTAAAATGAGCTATTGCAAGCGATTAAATACAGGCTTAACTGACCCATTCCTAGTTATTCATTTATTTATTTATTTATTTATTCATTCAGTTCCTCAACAACAAAAACTACCCAAACTACAAAAACTTTCAATACATTCTTCTATTATGCAATATTGTGTCTTGTATTTCTAGCGAGTTCAAACATATACTGCAATGCCAAATCTCTCAGCTGCCTTTAAATGACAACTTGGGTTATATTCTACAACAAAAACAGTAATTTGAGGTGGTTGCTGTTTCTCTGCTCATACTTGACTCACACCTCCTGCTGACAAGCCTACAGCGGCATGTAGCATCTATAAATCTCAGCCAAGAACAACAATTCTGTGTTCTCTTTCAGATACATAAACATATCAGGTCACAAAAACATGTAGCAGAAGTTCTGCACCTGGGTTCCAAACCATTCTATATAAGCTCTTCCATTTCAAAGCTGGACCTTGTATCGCATTCTCTGAGGGACCAGCACTGAGAGGCAAATATGGTTAAAAGCCTTTCATCATGTTCTCTAATATCTTTTCCTCTAATCAGTTACTCTGTGAGATTTTAGTGGTAAGCAATTTTGCTTGGAGCACTGCAGAAATGGCTTATAGATAGAATTTGCTATTAGACAGACATTATAGCAAGCTATGCTTTCAGATAAACAGATTACCAGATCACGCAATGGATACATGCAACTATACCTACGTCCCCTAGATGGCACCATAACCTGTAAAATAATGGCCTCTTCTTAGAAACATGCTGAGTTTTGGTCTACTTAATTATTTCCTAACAGTACAGCACACAGCTGCAGGGTACATTTTCTTGGGATGAAGGCTGCATAAAATCTAATACATTTCACCTTTTAATTTAATTGACATGCAAGTACACTTCTGCAAATCTTTGCTAAATGTATTATGCAATTTTGACATAAATAACCTTTCATCTTTTAAGATGTATCTTGCACTACTTAAGTGAATAATACAGCAATATTTCATATCTCTACATGAACCAAATATACACAAAACATCACCCCCACTTCCATCGTAAAACTTATCACAGGGTTGAGGATGCAGTACCTTCTGTTGAGTTGCTCCATCTGCTGGATGGAGCTGGATCTGTGCATGCCAGGGCATTTCGCTGCATGGCTGGGCCGTTGCCACGTGGTGGTGCGGTTCACATGGTCCACGTAGAACACACGGCCATGACTGTCTATCCTCGCCTCCCAGTCTGAGTGCACAAAGAAAGAGAGAGAGAGAGAGAGAGAGAGAGAGAGAGAGAGAGAGAGAGAGAGAGAGAGAGAGAGAGAGAGACAGACAGACAGACAGTAGAGTCAGACACAGCGAGTTCACATTCAAAACAGTTCAAAAGTTTAAAACTGTATCACTTATATGTCCCTCAGTCTCTTGCAAGGGTCTCCCAATAGTCTTTCCTGAAAACAAAAGTCAGTGATTAAAACTAGGCATTTGGTGTTTAAAAAGTTTGAACATGTATACATACTTATTTGAGGTGATGCATTGAACTGTCATGCATTTGTGGTGTACCAACCTCTTTTAAAGTGATGATGATTTCTTTCTGAAGCATATTTTGCTCTTTTAGCTTCAACAGAAACAAGGAAAGTGGAGCAGTTTGCTGTGCTCTGAGTTGAGGTAACAGATTCCTGGCATGACTTTATTATGCATTTAACTAACCAGCTATAAATGAGTTATTTTTCACATTTTCCATATGAACTATTCTTTTTAAAGGCCTCTGCTGATGAAATGTATTGTAGTTTAGACTACAGTCTTTGTTGCTTAAAAAGGACAATGCTTACTTACACTGAAGAGTGAAGTAAATACCAGCTTAGAAACTAATACTTGAGTATATGAATTATTTGGGCTAGCCCTCCAAAAACCTAATGAGAAACTCACAGTGGTGGTGATAGGAACCAGAGGTTGTGATGCCTACAACACAAATATAGCCATTATATTCGCTATCCAAAATGAGCTACATGTGTCTTTTCAGTTTTATATGTAATGCTGATAATGGTAAAACAGTAGTAAATCTGAAATAAGTTTTTTTTATTATTGTGTTTTATTTTGTCTTACAGTATCCTTCATGTACCTCTTTGCCCACAAGTTTATTTAAAAAAAAATGATCAAAAGCTCAGAATCTCAGAACTATAGTAAAACAATGGCTCAGACATCAGGCGCCATTTCCTGTAAAAGCTTTCAGAAAGGTAGATAAGAGGCATTAAACTTTCACATCAAACCACTCTGAATGAGTCTGTTTTACTCTTAGCCATTTAATTATGCAGACATTTAGAAAAATCAGCGGAATTCTGCTTTAATGGTGCAGCGTGTGAGATGTAGCGGAATGTATTAGCAGAAACGGAATATAGTACACAAAGCCCTATTTTCATTTGCATGTAACTACGCATCTAACTACGAATCCATGTGTTTTCATTCATCTAGAACAAGCACTTCATATCTACATAGGGAGCAGGTCCTCTTACAACAGGGGCCGCACCATGTTGTGCCAATATGTTTCTACAGTAGCCCAGAATGGTCAAACCAAACACGGGCCTCTAGCGGCATCTTGAATTTGGTGGCACTAAAGCACCGGTGAATAATCAGTGGTTGCTGCTGGTGCTGGTTAACCATTTTGTGTCATGTGAAGTTTGAGAATCCAAATTTTGACAAATGGAGGATCATACAAATTATTTAGCACAAGAAAAAGCAAGGGAGGGTGAATCCGCATTCACGGCCACTGCACCTTCTAATACACGCTTGGAAAGGGAGGGGTGAGGGAGGGGTATTCAGTTGGTTGCAATCTGTAATGCCACCACTAGATGCCACTAAATCTTACACACTGCACCTTTAAGTCTAGGCCCTTTGTTCATAAAAATCAACAAGTTTGTAAAAATATACAACAGAGTTCTGCACTTTCTGCAGTAGCAGGGTCATAAATAAAGAGATGCGCAGCGTATTCTGTGACACAGTGGAGCACAGAGGAAAGCGTGTGCAGGCTGATTTATCTGGTGAAGCAGCCAAACACTTCATCACACTGTCAGCTGTTTATGAGAGTGTTTGAAGAGCGTGGCTCGAGAGTCAGTAACTGTAGCTGTACTTAGAACAGTATTCCCAAACCACACTTCATGCTGAGCATGCAGACATTATGCTACAAATCTGATCCACAGTCAGCACTTTATACACGTCACGAAACAGAAATAAATTCAGGAACTAGAACTACCTGTCATGTGCTCATAAATCACTGAGCTGTGCCATATAGGGAAAATTCCACTGACCACACTGACAACTCCCCACCCACCTGCCTCACCAATACAATGTGGCTTTAGTGGTTGGTTAAATTTGGTTAGGCTTGCAACAGACCATTTCATCCATCTTTGGGGACAGTCCAGGCTGTGTGTGTGACAGCATAGCAAAGGACTCTGAACCGGGGCTAATGACTGACCTCAAATGTAATGTGTTTACAAGCTCATGAAACACTGAAAGATAAACCCCTCAGTTTCCTGGTAGCACCCATTGCATCTTAACTGTAACACTGTTATGCTTTTAATATGTTTTATGGCCATTCTTGGTCTTATTGTCCTTCAATTAAGAAGAAATGTTGGATGGACAAACGCTTGGACAAATAATGTCTTCTGTCTTATGTTGTATTGTTTTTTATTTTGCTAGTAGAGTTAGCAGTGTTTATTCTAGCCGTTTTTTATTCATTTACCTTTTTTTGTCTGTTTTTTTTCCTTTTTTATTAACAACAAATAGATAGTACAAGAGACCGACAAATAAGGCAGACAGTACATAAGGCAAACAAATAAAGCGAGACAAGCCAAACAAAAAGGGTATTATAATAATAATAATAATAATAATAATAATAATAATAATAATAATAAAAAGGTAAATGTATGTATACACATATACACATATACCCATTCAACCTCTTTGTACCAAAAATACAATAGTCTATTGCATTTATAATAAGTAGGTAATATTGCTTTGTTGTGCAGAAGAAAGGGAGAGCCAGGGTGCCCCCAAGGGCCCCCCACCAACCGTATTCTGTCTGTTCCATTCTCTTCGTCTGTCTCCCCCCACCCCCCCCCAAGCTGCTTCCCATTTACCATTTACCCCTGCTTATTAATTTACCTTACTGTTTGTATCACTTTATTGTATCTCACTCCAAAGCAAACTCTGAACAACTTTGTTGGTTATGCTAATACTGAATCTCAACTCTTAGCTCAGAACAATGAAAGAGCTGCAGCTCTGAAGCGCTGCCTAAGCTTCAACTCTTTCCCACACCTGCTCTTTGTTGCTTTGTATCCTGCATTTTTCTGTTCCATATTAATCATCTCTCACTTTCTCCATTCCTCTCCCTCTCTCTCTTTCTGATTGTAATCCAAAGCACGCGGGGAGCTGGGTCTCTTTAGCTTGCCAGTGTTAAGTTAGCTTTTAAGCCCAAACCGTGTGGTGCGCTGTCAGATTTCAAAATAAGCAGTGTGAGTCTAAAATACAGCAGAAGAAATGCAATCTGTTGTGTCAGGGACAAACAATTCAGCATATGGGCTGAGGACGGAAAACAGTAAAGCAAATGACAGGGCAGAATTACAACTGAATTGTGTGAAACAAAGTATACTACAGTTTGTAGACACTGGCTCATTTCTTGTGAAATTAAGGGTGTTAATATGGGCATGGTGACCTTAGGCTCATTTGCAGCTGCTCCAGATGTCTTATTCTGTTGGCAATGTTCTTCTAGGGAGATAATACAAGCTGTGTATGTGCAGCTGAACACATGGTTCAGCAGTGGGTGCACCTTAAAGTGGTTGAATTCACTGATTAGAAGAGGTGTCTGGATACTTTTGGACATGTGTATCACATTGTGACTAATACGTTATTGTTATTATCATTATTTTGGTTTGTGTTCTTTTGTTCATCGTGTCATGTCTGTCAAAATAAAACCTTACAGCTCAGAAATGCTAGAAAGAAAAAAGAAAGGATCTTTTATTTTTTTTTATCTTTCTTGTATCATATTCTTTCTACTTAAAGGACCTACAGCATCAAATGTCATCTACTAGGTGTAATGATATTACGATGTTTATATGACTAAAAAAACAGTTTCCCCTTAGAATTAAAGCCTTATATATAGTGTTTTTATTATAGAGCCTTTAAGACTGAAACATACTGTATAATGATCTCTGTCCTGATTGGCTGCTGATTATTGTGCCTCATTCAACCCTTAAATGTATATTAATGGACCAAGATTTTACTTCAAACATTTCTGGACTATTTCTACTGGTCAATTCATCATGAAATGTTAAACATATAAAGGTAGCTGGCTTTTTAAAATGGTACAAGCCTCTTTTTTTTAACTTCATCTTACACATTCTGCTTTAATCCCAAGTTTTTTGGTTGCTATTTCTATTCTATTGTCCTCATTATGCATTAGATAAAACATTCCAAGTTAAAAAATGATTCATTATTGTTTTGTTTGCGCTTGCTGAAGAACAAAAATGAAACAAAGAAGGCTTTTTACATCCTTATTCTTCATTCTGTCATTGTGAATTGTTCCTGCTAATTTCCTTTTTAACTAGGTGTAATAGTGAGGCAGGTAAGTGTAGTGTGTGTGGCTGTCACTGCTTTCTCCTAAAGCCCCTTGCTAGAGAGCTTTTTGGAGGCTATTTTTAGCGTACTGAATGTGTGCCCGTTTTACAGGAAAATCCAAAGCTCAGCACTGTTCCCTCCAGTGTTTTACTGCATTGAGTGCCAGCGTCCAATAAACTGAAATGCTGAAGTCAGATCTGCAAAATAAGAGGATTTTAGAGACAAACAATTTCCTCACTTTAGACCAGCAGGGGCTGAATCACTGCAAATGCACTGCAGGCAGGATGCACACAGAGGTCTGTTTCAAAAAACAGACTGTACACAGTACTCAAAGAGATGCTTATTGATTGTCAATATTGCAAGAAATGCAAGGAAAATAGTCTGGAATGATCAGGGGAACCTAGAAAATGCATTTTAATGCTTCAGACATTAAAGGTTTACTCAGACAGCATGCCAATCCCACTCTGTGTGAGTGATACCACAACACTAGCTGTGATGTCCTATAGCTGTGTGTCCTTGAAAGCTCTATTGTAAATTACGTAACCGTTTTTTCGCAGATGCTGGTAAAAACGTTTTGCGGCATTTCTAATCCAGACGATGGGTAACAGCATCCTATATCACATGACAGTTATAAATACAGTGCCCCATGCATACCTGTCCCTTAACAGTCTGTCACTACGGAAACGGCATAGAGGCTTCCAGATGTGAGAGATAAGCTCAGAGTAAAGCTGATCTCTGGAGAGAGGAGCTCATTTGTGTCACTGGAGTCTGGAAGGTCCTGGAGGGACCCTGTGACAAGTCTCGTCCTGTACACCAAAGAAAAGACCACAGCAATCAGGACTCGTTCTAATGCAGTTATACTCTACTCATTTATCCTGCGTGCTAGCATTGTCACTTAAGCAAAATGAATGAAAGCGAGAAGTATTTTGCTTGTTTATATGCTATTGTCTCAAATAAGTTGCATGCCACTTCACACACTAGCATTTAATGTTACATGTTTATGTTAACCTCAATCATATGTACTCATTATTTACACTGGAATATTTATGTGATGGGCTGATTATGGTACATTCATACTTCAAGGAAGGATAGGTAAACTAACTAACTGACATCACATGACTATTTAAATGTTTTTATTTAATTGCAATTGTAAATAAACAATATTATATGCATGACTGTGCAAAAGTCTCAGAATAAGTCTGAGAAAGGGTTATGATTACATACTGTAAGTTCAGCTGGGTTCTGCTTGTGGAAAATCAGTGGTTAGATAGTTAATTCACACTAGGAAGCAGAACCTGGGCAAACTGTGCCAACGTTAAATGAATCTGTTAGCAGACTGAGTTTGATAATCAACAACTCAATCTAAAAATCAACAACAGAGATCATCTTGATCAGTGGTGGATTGATCTGATATTTCCTGACAGAGGGAAACACTAGCAGTAGCCAGCTAGTGAGAGCGATTGTTATGGGACGGCAGGGAGGCGGACCCAAGTGCAAAGATGAAGACCCGTGAGAAAGGATGTTAAACAAATTTATTGAGGTAACGGGATGAGAATTGTTACTTTGGGGATGAGGTGACCGAGGGAGGGGAGATAAAAGGGACGGGAGACAAAAAGGTGGGAAAACGGCAAACAAAACAAACGCTGAAAGCAGCGTGCTCAAACAAAGGCTGAATTAGAAACATGAAATAAAAGATAATGAGAAAACAAAAGACACTTCCACTTTCTGCTTCACTTATTTGTATGGCTTGGAGTAGTTTGTAGCTCAAGCCTTCTTGTAATTTTGGGGCAATTACTCTCCTGTTTTTTTCCAGCCCTCTTTTCTTTTTGTTTTTCTTTTCTTTTTGTTTAAATACCCACCTGGGCTGCGTACCGTACCGGTCACCCCTCTACAAAGGTGTGACAAAGGGCTGCTGTTTGCCACAGCCTTAAGTAGAGGAGTCCACAGGTGTGTCAGGTTGGGCCTAATCAGCCCGAGGGCTTCTGGGAATTGGAGTTCCCTGAAGCTATGTCACTTCGTTGCCGTCACCCTCTGCTGGCGGCCGGCGGCGCAGGCTGGACACTTACAGTGATCAGGTGAGCAAAGGAGGCTAACGTTGCTCTATAACTAAATTAGTTATTCTGAGTACACTCTGTCTTTTCCCCTCAGCTCCACCCTTCTCTCCTCTTCTTATTCATTTTATGAAGTTGTGAACAATAAACTGCAGTGCTGTAGGCTAGTTGACTGGCTAAGCTAGCTTGCCACCATCCCTGACCTAATACTTTTTACTACATGTATTGAATGACTTTAAGAAGACCAATGATATGAGAGATTAAGAGGTAGGTGACGCATTTGTTAACACCTTAATGGACGTTTATACGTTAGCTCACAGTAACCAGCCCAAAACAGTACTGGCTCACTGTGATTACCCACTCCAGCACTGATCATAAATATTAACAGAACAGAAACTAGAAAAGCAACTTACTATTTATTTAGTTTTTTAGTTATTGCAAACTTCTCTTTCAAAACAATCCAGAAAATGACATATATTGCAGTTAAGCTTCTGTTGTCTATCACTAAAGCTAAAAATCAATATTGTTGCGTGACACCAATACAAATACACACAATATCCCATCCACAGAGAGCAACAATATGCCGAAGCATGTTTGTGCATGTTTTGACAGTGATGATTATTCACACCTTCGGCATTAGCATCTGGTCATCATTGCACTGCAGAGCATTCCAGGCATTTTAAGCCACAGAGAAAGAACCCCCTGTTATGTATGTTTTTTGCATAGCAGCCACAACTGAAACACAGCTGAAAGAAAAATATGATTTAAAATCTGTCATGTTTGGTGGAGGGTATGGTTGCCAGATGTCCAGTTTTCAGCTCTGTTGTCTGGTTAGTACTGTCAAAGACTGTAAATGTCTGGTTGTGTCTCACTCTAAACGCCTTCCACTTCTTGAAGTAGATGAAGTGCAGTTCTAGCCTTGTCAATGCGTCTGTCTCTTTCTCTCTCTCTCTTTACATGCATGTGTGCACATGCCGTTCCACACTCTTGCTGGGGAATATTCCACCATTCCTTTGTGAGAAGGCTGCGTCTCGGCAACATATATCATATTAAATAGGATGTCAAATGAGTTAGAATACAATTAGCAAATTATTCAGCCCTTTGAATACATGAAAAGACGGAATGAAGCTGAATATTCACATGACAAAGGAGACTTTACACAGTCTCATTATATAGTCAATTTAATATAATCCAACGTGTTATCAACATGGTATTTATTTGAAGTTTATGTTCTCTTCATTCTGCCAACATACTGTAGTTTCTGTAACCTTCTTTAAAGACTTTGTAAATGGTGCAATATAATTGTTTCCACATTTAATATAATTTTAAGTGGTGCAATAAAAATGTTTCATATTGTTGACAAATTAAGATGCCCCTCCCCCAGTGTCTGGTTTTGCCATAGCTGAAATCTGGCAACCCTACGGGGGGAGAACTGGGTACTGTCCTCTACAGTGGCAAAAAGGCTTTTTAGCTTTCATATTCGTCAGCCTACGTTTGAATACACAAGTAGATGCATAAAACTAACTTAAATGAGAGAGACCGATATTCAAAGTTGTAAGTGGAGCATATGCAATGTTATGCTGTGTTTACAAGTTGCCATTTTTTGAAAAAAAAAAATGTTCCATGCCTCATAGTATGGTGTGACCAATGTCAGGATACAGCCATGGTGACAGCTGTGTACTATCTGTAATCTCTGATTTTTTGTTGTATAATACTGGTTGTGCCTGGACTTTAACACTCAGTATTCATGGCTCCTTAAAAAATCACCATACAGTTTAATCCACCGCCACAACAAAATGAACTCTCGACGAATGCTGCTGTTGCTGCTGTAGGTGCAGAATTTTTTGTCGCTACTCCTTTGAAAACAATGGAATATCCAGTTTGTTGGCAATTGTCTACTGTCACAATGTAAACATGTCTTTAGACCATGAATGTAGCTAAACTGTGCAAGTTCTTATTACGGACATGGTTATACTTGTCAACATCCAGATGTGGTATGCATGTAATACCAAGTGTAAGCAGGACTGCAGATTTGCCTGAAAGGTTGTGAATCTTGTTGGGGCTGTAGGAGTTTGTGGATCAGGAACAGGAGAAAAGTTGGTGAAATAGTAACTATTAAATGAAATGGGACACAGTGATGATGCAAAATATGGTATGGCAATCACATAAGTCACTTGAGATTTACAGTCTTGGCCACATGCATGGACCAAAACATACATCTCACTCATGCAAACACACAAACATAAACTCTAATGTAGCATATGAAGATGAAAGGGTAAGGAGTGGCAGAGGAAAGCTTACTTGGTGGCAATGATTCATCAACATTTGGGTAATGGCTGGGGTTGGCTTGCAAAGCAGGAAGCTGTCTGACTGAATGATGACTGCATGGCAAGTGGCTAGTGCCTACAGAGGTGATGGAAAACAGAAATGATGGGGTGAATGACAAAAAAATATAAATATGCTTAATATATCTTGAGATATGTTCATAATATAAAATATAGGTACAGTTTGGTTGGTTTATATGAGGAGTGGTTTATATTTTATCTAAATGTATCTTATGGGTGGAGTGTAATCTGTGAAGTAGAAGTCTAAAGTGCAGGGGGGAATGTAATGTTAGAGAAAGTGACTGCCCTTGTAAGAGTGCATCCATTAGAGCTCTGCTGTCTGTGTCAAACAGCTCTTAAATTACAATGATTAAAAAATTTTAGGCGCATTTGTATCTGAAAAATGTTTAAAAATAAAGATATCTCTAGACAAATCAAAATAATTTCAACAACAGGCGACTGACAGTAGAAGCAGAAGAAGTAGTACATACGAAGACCAATACAAAGACAAGAAAAGAAGTAAGAAATCCAGAAATCTTTGCAGATGGCCTCTTTTCATGCAAGTCTTATTTTATTTCTAGCCACTCTGATCTACCTTTTAGGATTATCATTAACCTTCTCAAATATTCTCTCATATATTCTTTCTAAAGAAAGAGAAAGAAATAAATACTTGCTGTATGGCTACTAAAATTCAGATGGTAACTTTACTATAACAGTTTTAAGAACATTACTTGCTACATTGGTGACAGCTCAAAGTGACTTGCCTGGCAATTTTAAGTGAAATGAACCATCTTTAAAGTAAGATGCAGATGGATGGACAGGGGATTATAGGTAAGCTGTGCTGGCTGGATGAAGTCTAACAAAGCCCTGTCAAAATTACACAATCCTCTATGACATACACAGTCAAATTTAATATATGGTCTATGAAATTAGCACAATGAGAAACAGCTCGTGTAAAAATCATACTGCAAAAGGCTCACAGCTCATGCCTTTTTTCAAAGCGTGTGATTTGACTAACATTACGTCAACAGCTTTATTATCAGAGACAAAACTCTGGAATCTACTGGGAATAATACCAGAAGGGTTTAGACAGAATTCAAATATTTGCCATGATTAGAGGTCTAAAAACATCAAGCTTGTCGCATCCAGCCAGGCTTAATCATTCTAAAAGCTCAGCTTATGTAAATCTATTGACCTGTTGTTTTTCCCCACATTTCATCATTGTGACCAGTATGGAACTGGGGTGTGAGGCAGCACGCTCCGCAAACCCAGCACAGCTAGCAGACAGGCACTCACAGCCTCAGGCCAGCACACAGCATGTGTGAAAGAGTCACAAGCAATAGACAAACAAGCCATCTACCTACCACTGTTCTCCACAGAAAAGCACTTACCCCTGTGTGGTCCTGGAGGGTGGTTTGACTGAGCCTGTGCTCTGACCCCTACCCCTGTCTAGTGGCATTAAAGGAAAAATTCTACTGCAGATATCATAACTGTGCTCTTAATCATAAAAGGTTCTAAATGGTTCTTGACTTGGACATATTGTTCAAGGAAAAACCCTTAATTGGCTCAGAACCTTTACATTATGTGGAGGTTCTCTTCCAAAATTATTCTTAAACCATGCACTGAAAGGTTCCTTAGGGATCCAGAAGTGTTTCCTCTATAGCACTGCTCTAAAGAACCCTTTTTGATGCATTTACCTCTCAACCACTTTAAGAAAACACAGCTTTCCTGAGTTTTTACAGTAATCAATCGTCCAACCTCATACCTGTAATTTCCGAGTGCAAACAGGCCTCTTGGTTATTCAGCGTATTATTCTAATCAGCACAAGAAGCAAATATTGATGTATTTTGTCTCTGAGTAGGTACTGATCTTTTCATCATCGTACCTCAGTCGGTGAGAGAGGATAAATGCCAAGTGAATGGTCAGCTATTATTGGTTAAAGCTTCAAAGTATGATTAGCTAACTTCAGACCAATAGCAAACTGTGGAAATGCTGATTGTTGTCCTTCACACAACCTACAACTGGTCATTAGGGCTGCAGCTAATGACTATTTCTGTAACTGATTAACCTTTCAGACTATCGTTTAATTATCTGATTAACTAATATGGAACTACTTCTTTGGTCTTTCTTCTTCATCGGTCAAATTTCTGACAAGCGATTTCTTCTTTTATGGTGCAACAAACCAATAACAGCTATAGCACCCAATGCTTAATGCAGTGTAGCCTACTGCAATCTGTTGGAATTATAGTGTCACATTACAGAGCATTATAGAGCACCTTTATTGACTAAACAGCACAAAAACAGTAAAAATCCATATTGATTCTTTCTTGTAGTCAGCATTATTTTGTTGACTAATCGTTGCAACCTTGTAGGTCACTCAGTAGAGGAGAGTGGACACAACCTAATACAGGTTAAAATGTGACATGAACATTCAGGTAAACAGGTTAAAATAGAACATGCTTTTGGTCATTTTCTTGCATCCCCATGGCAACGTCATCTGCTAACTCTTAGAGCAATCAACTTTTTAACTTATTTAGGGTTTTTTGATTACTGAGTTGTGTGTACAAGATACAGAATTGATACTTATATAAATTTCATTATCTCTTGGTGTCTGTAACACAGCGCTATTTTGAAGCACATAAACAACTCACAGTGAGAGCTGTCCAGAATTAAGTACAATCCCCACATGGCAAGGTTGGTTTCAACAGTGTTACCTAACTAAGCCTTCCCAAAATAAACACTGAGAGAAATCCAAGCCTTCCCATTTAAATTCAAAGCAGCTATTTATTTCGATTTTTAATGCACAGATTAATCAAACATACAGATATCATATAAATAAAACAGGTTTTTAGCTTTATCATGCTGGTATGTCCTCTTCTACTCTGTAGTCAAACATAAATTTGCCATATTTGACACAGCCATTTTCATTAATCATATTTATATGTTTATGTATTTAGGTAGGGAAGTTCTTCTGATTCAAACAACATAGAACTGTATTGAATAAACTGTGCTTGCATAAATCTACCAGACTTACCAGCTGTTACACACCAAAATGTGTTAATTGTGCCCTTGTCTCAGGCCATCTTTGGCATTCTGGCCAGTAAGTGAGCTTTTGCTTATAAAAACACTTTATAACATTAGAATACATATAGCCTAAAGAAACATGAATACATTAAAAATAACAATTTCTTGTTTCCAAATTCTGAAATTCTTGTGAGATGATTAGAAGAATAGGAAGGTTTGGTTTGTATTCTCTTTGCTGCAGCACAATCACTGTATGGTTTTGTTCAGTTCCATCTGATTTAACTTAATGAAGTACTGGTCAGCCAAACCAGGTACTGGATGGTAACTATGGTTAACTAACACACAATGACAATTTATTGTAGCAACATTTATTTGTATTTATCCTAATTTTACATGTTTTTCTAGGCTGCCGTACTGCATGGTACTGTATTTCATACATGAAAAAGACTTTAGTTCCATCTTTTCCTCACCTGGAGCCCTGACGCTGGGTCCGGCCACTGGAGACTGATCCCCCTGCTCTCTGCTCCGGCGACCCTCTTCAGCCTGGTCCTCGCTCCAGCGGGGTGATCCGTCACCTGGCTCCCTCACCTCCGGGCTCTGTGAGTCTGGTGCCGACTCAAATGCACTGTTCTCCTCCTCCTCCTCTTCCTCCTGCGAGGAGAAGACAGTGCTCTCCGACAGGCGTGTGCTGTCCACGGATGAGAGACGTGTGTGGCTGCAGAAACGATTGCGGCCTTCGTTGCCCGAGTTGCTGTAACAGGACGTGCTGTAGCAGGACGTGCTGTAACAGGAGGTGCTGTAACACGAGGTGTCACACAGTTCGCACTCACTCTCTCTTGGGCCTCTTAGACCCCCTCTGCCACTATCCATTTCCCCATCCTCACTGTCTGGGCGTCGTGGGGTGGGAGGTGAGGGGCTCTCGCCATCCAGCAGCTGGTTGAGCTCAGATAACCGCTCAATAGAGAGACTACGGGGCAAAGTCCTTCGACAACATGGTCCAGGGCATTCTTGCACTATGGATGGAGACTGAGCCTCAGAAACTCCTTCTCCGTTCTCCTCCAGCTCCTCGTCTTTGTCGGCTGCAGTTTTCAGGGTGACCTCCTCAGAAGTTTCCAGATCGAGTGCCTCTTCGTCATCCTGGCTGTGGTAGCGCTGCTGGGCAGAAGGCAGGCTATGCAGGAGGTGGTGGATGCGGATGTAGTGTGACCGTGGTGTCTCAGGCTCAGCGCAAGCCGATGCAATAACCGTCTCGAGCTCAGACACAGGTAAGGAGCAAGGCCGACGCTTCATGGCCTTGCGCTTCAGCATGGCTCTCATCCTTGGAGAACATGGTTCTCCTGCACTATCGCTGTCTCCTTCTTCTCTCACTCCTGTCTGTTCTGGGCCTGCAGCTCCTTCCACCTCTGGGGCTTCTCCCACCTCCCCAACAGTTTCTTCTTCTGCTGTGCATAAATTATCAGCAGGTTCATCCTTATGAGCCTCCAGAACATCTACTCCTTCCTGCTGCACCTCTCCCAGCTCCTCAGCTGGTTCCTCAAGGTTTTGTTCTTGATCTGCTGCCAGTTGCTGAATTGTGTTGGACACCTCCTCACATACTCTGCTCTCTTCCTCCTCTGGTGCCACCTCTGCCTCTCTAACATCCTCTGGTTCCTCCACCCCAGACTGAACATCAGCAGAGGGAGGGCTACTAGGCTTGGCAGAGGAAGCAACAGACAAAGAATTCTGTGCCTCCACATCCGGACAAATGTCCTCAGGGTGCTCGGGTCCATCTGGCCCCATGCTCAACATATCCTCAGCAGCCAAGTCAGAAGTCACTGCTGTCGCTGGTTCAATGTTCTGCTCCTCCACCACCTGCTGCTCAGGGGCCACTATGCAGTCTGACTCTACATTGGCAGACACTTCCTCATCATCTGCCAGGAAGAACAGGCACATCTGTTATCAAAGCTGTGAGACAAGGCTGTGATCTACGGAGAAGATTCTGTGCCAGCAATCACAACAGTAGAAAAATGTGCAATGCAACACACAAATGACATTACTTTTCATTAGTGATGGACGGCAAATGTGCCAAACTGAATAACAAAACCGTCATTATGTTGTTCTGACACTGCTTGATCTCTTTACTGCAAAATACATAGCAGGGACTTTCTTTTAATAATTTAAGGGAATGCAATTGTTGAAAAGCAGTTCAAACAGCTACTTTGCATTTCACTGCTAGATGCTTTCAGTGTTGCACTAAATACTAAATGCATTTTGCTAGAGCTAGGACATTAAGCATTTTAGAAAACATGATAGATTGTTAACAATAATCATTGCTATTATTATTTAAAACCGTTCAATATGTTTAGGGCTGTTCAAGTTATGATTCTTAAATGAATTTTAGAGAAAAAATACTGTCACATTTCTGATGCCTTTTTCCTACTGTGGCAGCCAGCACATCAGTATGATACTCACTTGCGCTGCAATTCATGAGGCAACTCTTTTGTGCTGTGCATGTCAATTAGCAGGTAAAATCAGGACTGGAGTTTTTAAAAAATACACCAGAATGTTCACAAGAAGTCATTGCTGACAAAAATAAATGGATGAAAAACAACAGCATTTGCATATCAAACAAAGAAGCTGCTGGTGTTCTCAGAGCAATCGACTCACCACCCCAGAGTCCATATATATATATACATGTATATTGGCTTCTGCACACTTTTTTGTTACACAGAAGCCACATTTTCTGCTTTATTCCTGAATAACATTCTTACAAACTAAATACATGACGCGTGGTCTCTGACTTCTGCACAGTACTGCATTTGGATTAGCATTAAGGAGAAATGTAACACTTATTTGCAGAAGGTTACAAATATAGTATAATAAAGTAATGTCAGACATTTTTACCCAGTTGATCAGTGTTATCTAAACATTCTGCTCTTCTGGAGAACAATAAATATGGCATCAAATATCAGTTTGAAATATTGGTCACATCTAAATATTTGTCTGATGCTGATACATTTTTCTAAGCGATTGGCTGCCAATACAGATATAATTTCACTGTGCATCCTTAGTGTGGTTATGATTGACCTGCAAAGCTCCTGGTCTAAGGTGCCCATGATCCAATTCAGGATCCTTGCTGATCCAAGACCAGATTTGTGTTTAAATCACTGTTCATAAGATTTCAGTGTGGCACAATTCCTGCACACTGTTGATCACTGCTTTAAGCTCAGCCACAGAATCTTCTCCTTGGCCATTCAGATTTTGTTAAAATAATGTAGCAAACTGAAGTCAAGGGCTTAATTTCCATGATTGTTTTTTTGTATTATAACCTTATAACCAGTGTCTCAGAGTGGAAGCACTGAAGTGTTACATTTTCAAGAAGCTTGGCAGGGGTGAAAAGATGTCATGCTGCAGACCTGGATGAATAGAGGATGTTATCTCGAATCGAAACTGCAGCTGTCCACTGACATGATCTGTTGGCAGCCTGCGGCCCAGAGCGTAGCTCACCACACGATCGCTGTCCAGGAAAATGCGGCCACACGCACACATGGTCAGACATATGCACACACAAAGACACACACAAACACACAGAGGGCAGCTTAGCATTCTTGACATTTGAAGATCACAGTTCAGAGTGCAGAAATACAGGGTAAATAACTGGAAAGACAAATCATAGAAAAATCTGAATAACCACCTAGAAATATGTGAATCTTTGCAAATAATCATTAAAAGAGGTAATCTGTGCCAAAACACTGCGAGAAAAATGGTCTTAAGTGCTCTAAGGGAAAGCCACAGCTGTCTGTGCCGGAGGCATCACTTTGTGACTCCGCTGCGTGATGCTATGTATGACCTACCCGATAGCATGCTTCTCCAGCAATCTCTGCACAGGCACACACAGCTTGCCCAGAAAGCGTTTGATGATGGGCCTGCTCTTGGCAAACTTGTCTTTCACCTCAATCTCCAAAACATCCGTGGGCAGGGACACAAAGTTAAACCTCTGTGGACAGAGAGTGAAACAAGAGGCTAAGACCATGGACTTTTTGAAGACACAAAAAGAACAATGTTTTTGTTTCTCACAGCTGATCTGTATTAATGCAAAAGCCCTCTGTTTTATTATAGTTCTGGAAGAGTGAGGGCTACACATGCTTTTTATGGTCCATTAAACTCTGACTCCCCATCTTCTTCAACTATCAGCCATTCAGCTTTGATAACCACCTCACTCGAACTTGATTTTTCACCACATATTCTGAAAATCTAAAATGATACCAGTACTTATTTTCCACAGTATCGATTCCATCCATTTCAGTTGTGCTGGAGCAGTAGGCCCAATCCCATTTCACCCCTTGCCCCTACCACTTAGCTCTTACCCCTCCGTTTTGCATGTTCACGCCTAGGGGTAGGGTGTCCTGATTTTGTTGAAATACAGTGGCAGGGTGAAGTGTTAGGGCTACATGTCAGAGGTTTTTCAGAGGCACACTCCAAACAGAGTGTTATGTGAAAAAAGAAAAAAACGGCAAGTTGGCTGCATGAGTGGCCAAAGACACCCACAAATGTGAGAATTTTCTCTGTTAAGAAATTACAATAGCCATTGTATTATCTTAGTTTATGTCATTTCAATGTATTGTGTTCCTTTTCTTCATAACAAGCATAAAAAAATCACCAGTAGTATGTTGATGGACCATTTAAGGTAGAACGAGAACATTCAAACAAGAAACTGGTTCTTTCAATCTTTGAAGGCATATGATTCCCTAAATTTAACTAAAGACCTGCAGCGAGGTTGCTGAACTTTACCACTCCTCTATCACTGCCAGCTGGCAGGGTTGCCTACAGAGCTTACCACTAGCAGCCTGTTAATAATGTCCTTTTTTATTTGAGGGTCCCATTTTGAGGGGAAGATTTCAACCACTACCCCTTGTAACTCAGTTCCAAGGGGCAAGATGACACTCAAAAACAAGGGGCAAGGGTAAAAATAAGAAATGGGATTGGGCTGCAGACTTGTCTTCTCTCAATCACCCTGCTGCTGTTCAGAGTGTAATGGTGTGAAATTCTGCTGCTTGTTCACACTTGGCAGGTTTGGTTCAATTAAAAAGAACTCTGATGTGATTGCTCTGTTATTGTAGTTCATTAGACAAATTAAGAACGCTGCCACTGAAACCATGTAGACCATGTAAGCAGACTGAGACCAAGCTCCTCAGGAGTTTCAGTCTGCTTACATGGTCTGCAACAGGGTTCCAAACAAACTAGATGGTCTGCACTAGGCTAATCAAACAACTCTGCTTTGGTTCATTTTAAGTAAGAATGCAAAACAGACCAAGATGTCTAAATGGACCAAACACAGAATGAACCGTACTTCATTCCAAAGCACACCTGCTTTGCAAGAGATGAGTTTACGACAGTTCTATCGTCTCTTCATGAGGCTCTGAACTGGTAATTATAAAGCAGAAGGTTTGTGGCTGATGTGCATAACAAGCTATTTTAAAATACTTGGCATACACATATGACTGAACACATCAGCTGAATTTTGTATTAATGTATTTAAGTTATTCAAATCCATGCACCTAATGGTGCTTAGCAACCACCGCCTACAGTTAATAAGTTGAAATATGTCAGCATGAACCCTAATAGAACTAGAATTAAGATGCCATAATCTTACAATGTGCATTTTCTATTTTGGTCTGCAAGGGAAACCAACTACAGATATAAACACACCTTAAATCTAAGATAAGCTGAATTTTAACCTGGTCACTTTTAAAGTCTTTTTGCTTGTGACCATGTTTTTTAAATGACTCTGTGTGGTCAGTCATTTGTATTGTTTTATTCAGTCGGTCTTTTATAGTTTTTTTCCTTTTCTTTTTTAGCTTGAGACTAAATACAGTGACCTGCTTTCCTACTATGGAGATCTGGTGGTACAAAAAGTGGTATAGAAAATGGTCTGGAATACAGATAGTTCTCCAACTACCGCATGGAATTCTGAAATTCCAGTATCATGAAGAGCTCCACTCTCTACAGAAGCTCAAATATATGCACTCCTCCTTGGTAAGAACACAGCCAACTGTAGTTTGTAGAACAGCTTGGATTCTGAATTCCCAATTGCCGTGTGTATGCTTTCACTGTCTTCACAGCTTTTACTAGGTGAATCATCCACAGTGTAAAACCAACCATCTATAACATTTACATAAACAGTAGAATGATAAAATACATGTTCTACTATTTCTTCTACTGATGACATCATTAAACATTAAATAATGCAGATATTAAACATTAAAGTTCAACAGACAATAGCCTCTGCAAATGATTTGTCAAGTCAAATGAAGAAAGAGAATTCAAAATGTCTTTAAAATGGTAGTGCAAAGTAGGGAGAGAAATAGTGATTCAGGATTAGGACAGATTGAGAAGCCTGCTGGCTTTGCAGTAAAATCTGTCTGTTAGCTGACTGGTACTGGACCAGATGCTCTAGTGGCATTTCCCAGACAACAGCAATCTGAGGAGGTTTCAGTTGAAATATAATGGGTTCCTGATGATAATGCCACTTTAGAAACAGTAAACACCTCTGGATCAAATAACAGATAGGCGCTAATGTTAGGTATTAAAGCTCTGCAGAGCAATGACCAGTAATTACAACCATGTTTGTACATTTGTAGCAATATTTTAATATTGCTCCATATTTCTACATTTTCTTTCTGTTTCTTTTTTTCATTAATCACTGTAAAATGATCAGATGTTTTAATGTAAAAAGGAAGCAATCTTTCTGCCTTAAAATTCTGATTTTATTGAACTCAAATCACAAGTTATCTAGAATTACACACAATATTGTTCTGTTAACTTCCTATTAAAAGTTACAATGTTTTAAGATAAGTAGGTTAATCAACGTTTTAGGTTAAAACAACAAATCAGCTGTCGATGTCCAGAAAAAGGGCTGGCGATGTTAGCCTGGCTGGGTTTAGCCTGTAATGTACTGTGGCCTGCTTGTTGCGCTTCTGCCCACACATGCCGCTTCCAATGTCTCTATGGCTGGTCAAGTGCACAGACTGCTGGACCAGCATGAAGGATTCTGCATCAGCTAAACTGTCTCTGGTGGGGTTGGGGGCGGAGAAGGATTACAATGTCATCCAAAGCATGATGATCCAATTTGCAATTAAATCCAATGTCCACATTTCTGCTTGATGAAACAAATGCAAGAGGCTGGTAGTGGATTTGAAAGAAGCCATGACTAATCGATCAACTTCATAAACACAGGGGCAGGTACTACACTGCTTTTGAACAAGAATGGTAGAGCAGGTTTCAGAATCTTTTCGGTAGCTCTCCTGTTTGGAGGGAGGTGGTCTTGTTTGGCATGGCTCAGGGACTGCAGATCCTGACTCGCTATGTAGCTGTCCAGGGTGCTGAAGACACTGAGCCAAACAGCAGTGCCAGTGAGCTGAATAAGGCACTTAAAAAGAACCATGCCTCAGACGAGGCTCAGGGAGACAAACCTGAACTTGCTCCAAATGCCAAGGACTCAAGATTCTGCTCTGTGAGGTACAACAGACAGATATGCTCTTCTGAGTCTCTGAAGGTACTGATATTGTTGGTACTTCTAGAACATTAAACATAAATGTGGATCATAAAAAAGACTTGGGCCAATTATACAAAGACGGTAACCAACAAAAACTGTTGACTGTATAAAGTGCATAGTAACAAGCAGCACTATCATTATAATATTTAATTAAACTATTTTTACCAATCATTTGATTTGTCCTCCTTATAAAACAGATAACTTTGTATAGGCTTTTTTTGACTACTTTTTGTCAGTTCCAATCTGTTGAAACTATACTATAGTTTAGATTTGGGGGCTTGGGGATTCAGAGACCTCTCCATTTGGAATGGGTGGAAGAACATTTTGTAACGTTGGTAGTGCTTCGGACCCCTTCCCCAAACAAACGAATCTGATGATTGCGGGCACTTTCAAAAAGCATTCAAAGAGACGTGTCTTCTGAGGATGTGAGTGAATGATCTACTATTGTCATATCTTCATCAGTTTGATGCTGATTTTGCATTTGAGACCTAAACATCGAGCTGGACCTTCATTTTGAGCCTGTGCATGTGACATTAACACGTAAAGATGTATGATGTACGAAAAACTCCTCAGCTTTTAAATGGCTATTTCAGGCTTTACAGGGTGACTTGCAGCAGCACACGCATCCCAAATTTTACTTTTTTGACTCAGTAAAGCTGCTTGTTTCAGTTTAAACAAAACAATCTTACATAGTGCAGCTTTAAGTATGATATTATATGCTTGCCATAACACCCAGGATACTGAAACAAAGCCTGAGAGTTTTATGGCCGTAACTATTTACACACTTACAGTACAATTCAACCGCAAGTTAAACCCGCTCATCTGCAGAAATTCTGAGGGTAAAACTGAATCCTTTGATAAAGAAAAGTCAGCTTCTCGGAGGGCACTTGATTGACTAAAAGCCAATTCACCATTAAGGTCTTCATCAGATTTCAGTCAGTAGGAGAAAGTCATTACTGGAAATAGAGAGTCTTTACTGTTTATTACACATCCCATTTAGTGCTTTACTTCCTTCCTCTCACTTATCCAACTGGGGCGAAAATTTCATCTGTGCTGCTGAAGGCAATGAGCAGCCAGCATCCTCGTCTCTTCCCTGTGGTTTTGTCATCCTTAGTGTTTGCTTTTAATTGAACATTACTGCTTCTTCTACTGCAGGAGAAGTGGGAAAATACACACTGTTCTTTCTAATTAAGAATCAATAAATTCTCCCAGCACTCTTGTATTTTGCCTGCATCTAAAGCTACCGTGTTTTATTAAGAATTACCACTGTGCTGAAACCCTTACAAGTTGAGGGATATTCCTGTCATTTTGGTAGACTATTTGTAGTTACATGTTAGATGTAATTATGTAATTATATAGCTATTTGTGTCATGAATTACATTTATATTCTGTATTGACAGGTTTGAATCTGCATTTCTGAATTGTTTTGACAAATCTTTTAT